TTCTAATATTTTATAACGTTATTAGTAACGTTATGAAATAACGTTATTACATTTTTCTAATATTGGGGTATTATAAATGACTATGGTAACACTGGCTAATGCACTACATACATAAAAAACCGGCTTCACTTTTTTGTTCGGCAGACTCCGTCTTTACTTTTTATTTGGTCTGAGTATTAAAGTTGTTGTCAAATTTTATTTTGATCTTAGATGTAAACATCAATGTAAAGAAGCAAATGTATCTCAGAGAAATTTTCTAAAAAAACTTGTATTATTTAAAATAAATAGATAAAAACTATGCCTTCAATTTTTATTTCAATTTTCCTAATTGTACCTATGTCCTTTCCCTGGGTTAATTCTATATCCGTGCTCAATTTCATCATTATCTGTTCAGCGATTTCGCCTGGCTAAATTCGCCATGAAGATATTAAACAGACAGATTTTTACATTTATAATATTATTAGCATGGACATCACATTAGGACCTATCTATTCGGATAGGTATTTCATGAAACAATAATGAAATCCATTATTCTACTATACCAAATGCGGCCCATGCTTTAGTGAGTTTCAATGTGTGTGTATTTGCCACGCTGTTTAAAACTGAATATTCCGTATTATATGTCTGTGGGCTCAGCCGGCTGCCATATGACCCTGACCCCATGTGACAGCGGCAGTGGCACGTTCAATTGCTCCTACAATTTCTCAAAATAATGCCGTCTTGTTTGATTGAAATCATGTAAAACCTACAAGGGTAAACTCAAAAAGCCACAAGGAATCGCCTGCCACGGATAAGTAATGACGAATCGGGATATTTTTTCTAAATTATATTTTATTTAATGTGATGAAAATTCTAAACAAAAAATACAACTGTGTAGCACGGACCTGAAAAAAAGACGGACGTAACCTATTCTTAGCGCGAGTGAAGCATGCAAATGGGCGCCCGCTTACCGCGTGTGCGTGATTTGAGGGTTGTCGGGTAAATCATCAATTTCCCTACTTTTTAAATCTCCCAAACTAAAACATTGTTAACATTATGTAATCAAATATATATTATAATAACGGGATATTTACCACGTTTTTTACTCGTTCTGAGCTCCCGATTTTTCTGCATTTTAAACGGTTGCACTTCAGAAGAATGATGTAGGTCTATCAATCAAAAACACAGAGATAGTAAAGAAAGCACTTGTTATGTATAAAGAACTTTATTGTTTACATATACATATTAGTGTCTTAATATTAAGTATGAGTTTAATAACATACATTAATATACATAAAATGCGCAGATTAATGCTTAAAATAAAAATATAATACACTAATATTGCTATTTCTTCTTTTAAAAGTAAGTGTTTCATTCATAGATTTAGTAGGTATTTAAAGACAGAGTGAGGAAAAGAGATATCATGCCAATCCTATAAGGTAGAAAGAGACGCAACATGATGTACAAAGGTACCAAAGGGTCTAATAATATATTTTTAGCAAGAGCCGCAGCGCCCTGTCAAGCCGTACTGAGATAAAATTTATTATGAAATTCTGTGAAACTAAGAAAACAATAATTCATATAACACAACAGAAATGTGCTTATTACAAACTGAATAAGTTAGTGTTATGGTATCCTGTCTTTTAAACATATCTTGATAAATCGACACTATCACTCAAAATCAAACACCGATTCGCACACATGCACAGATATGTCAGGAGGCAAGACAATAATTTATATAAAATATCCTATGAATAATATGGCTTCTATTCTTTTCCTTTTGGGATACGGAACCCTAAAAAGTTACGAAATCTCATCTTGCCTAGTCACAAATGCAAGAAATACAAAATTCCTTACTTTTAGGGAAAATTTCCCGTAAATAAAGTAGCCACTCAGTTGTATTTTTGTTGACAATTTTCATCCTTGTAAATAAAATATAATATAGAATAATTATCAATAATCGTCAATACTTAAGCATGGTAGGTGATTTCTTGTGACTTTTCAAATTTACTCGTGTAGTTTTTACAAGATTTCACCACACAAACGGCATTTTTTTTTAAATATCGGAGGCACGCGGGGTCAAATGGCAGCGAATTGTTCGACCTGGTGCATTAGTGTGAGTGTAGGTAGTGTACAACACACGATTTTGTCTGACCTTGCATGCTTCACATGATTTGCCTTTGATATTACGTCCGTCTTTTTTTCAGGTCCGTGCTGTGTAGCTTATTTTTTTTACGGGAAGATCCTAAATGTTGGGAAATTTGTATTTCATGCATTTGGGACTCGGTCATACAAAAATTCGTTACTTTTTAAGGTTCCGTATTCCAAACGGAAAAAAACAGAACCCATATTATTAATATAAAATTACTCTTGCCTCCTTTTTATGATTACTGGGTTTTTTTACTTATTCGAAAGTGCAGCGGAGAAAACAATTCTAATCCATCAACTGCCAGTACTATAGCTAAGCGGCTACGTTGTTTGGTTCCGTACGCAATCTGCGTGATTTATAAATCTATAGAATACTAACGGCCCGCCCTCGCTTCGCTTCGGTGTAGAGCGGAAGTGTAGACTACATACATGTAGTAGTATAATAATGGTGGATTATTAACCACTAAGTGGTTAATAATCCACCATTATTAGACACTAACATTCATAACGCGCCCGCGGCCAACTTCATGGTGTTACTAATGTGTTACAGTGATGCGCGCGCATCTCGAAATTTCACTCACATGATATTTTCATAACGCGCCCGCGGCCAACTTCATGCTGTTACTTTTGGGTTACAGTGATGCGCGCGCATCTAAAAATTTCACTCTCATCATTTTTTCATAACGCGCCTAAAGAAGTATAACTTCAAATATATATTAACATTTTTTTCCGAATTAGCCCTGATAGCACTGATTATTTCATTATTACAAATGTATATTATTAACCTCATACTTAATCTAAGGACATTAATATTCATACGTAAGCAATAAATTTCTTTATATGTAACAAGTGATTTCTTTCCTATCTCTGTGTTCATAAAAATGAATTTAATAGGCCAACATCATGTTTCTGAAGTGCAACTGTTTAAATTGCTGAAATATTGGAGTTCACAACGAGTAAAACACGTGGTAAACATCTCGTTATTAGAATATATATTTACATAATATTAAAAATGTTTTATTCTGTGGGGCGACATTTAAAAAGTAGGGAAATTGTTGATTTACCCGAAAACCCTCAAATCACGCACACGTGGTAAGCGGGCGGCCATTGGTATGGTTCCCGCACGATTAGGCGAGGTTACGTCCTTCCCTTTTTCAGGTCCGTGCATTTTGTCTGATAAGCAGATGGATGAAGGAAGATCTCTCTTCAGGTCTTGTACTACACCCACTCAAAAAAACACACTTATGAAATATTACATGATTTGGCCTTTGCATAGCAAAGAATCACAAAATAAGCATGGTTTCTTTATCTGTCAATTGAGAACTTGTGGCTCAAATAACTTGAATCCAAGCCATAATATTAAAAAAAAAGAGAGAAATTTAGAAAGACATACAACATGCCTTTTGGTTTGAAAAAGGACAGTACAAGACAAGATTTTTATACTAAAATAAAAATTAAAAAAAACGAGCGAGCCTTACAGTAGTCGCGTGTGATGTGTAACATTTGAAACCTCACCTTATATTAGTAAAAAGAAATAAAACCTACTACAAAAGGAATAAGCCATTTGAACATTATGTTCTAAAATCAAATCAAATAATACACACTTCCGTCCCATTTCACGAATTCACTCCCACAAATTGCAGGAGAGCGAGAGGAAAGATGTTACAGATTAAAAAATAAAACATTTTTAACACACACCAATTAACATAGTCCCAAAGTAAGCACTGTAAGGCTTGTGTTATGGGATACTAGGGTAACGGATAGAATACATATACAGTACATATATAAGTATATTTATATAGAAATACATATTAAACATCAATGACTGGAGTACAAATGCTCATATTCATTCAGGGACCTCTCGAGTCCGCGACACCATGAAACCCGGCATACAAACCACTCGGCCACGGAGGTCATACTACTTTAAGCGGACAGAATAGGTCATTGCCTTGTTAAAGGTCACCTGTACCAACTCACAATGGTGAGCTCACTGGTTTGTTACTTCTGCAACATAAAAAATCAGTCACTGGACCATATCTTTTGACGTGACAACGTCTTAAATTAGGTTGCGGCTGGGAGTCACTTATGAAAAAGTGTAACGCTCGGTAACGTTACGATGAGTCTCTCGTGTTAAGTTTAAGTTTACATGTACAATGTTTTAGTAAACAAAATATATTTCTATAGTTAAAATTTGTGCAATTCTTATTTTCATTCAATTCCTTGTTCCTATTGTGCAATTTAATTATATTCATATCAATAAATATTCTACCAAGAAAAAGACGTTGTCACGTAAAATCTTCGCCCGTAAAACCGACTTTACAGGCAACCATTTTTTTTCCTGTGGTTCATTTCAAGTACAGAGTAATATGCCATTCCAAGACCTTCGAAGTACTTTTGGCGAAGAACCAATGCCGCGCGATTTGAGAAAAGTATTACATATAACGACATCTATATTCCTTAATACAGATTTGTAAAAGCTGCAGTCAAAACACTAAGAAAAGAAAAACCGAAGCTTACAGACAGGGCTGTATGGACTCACGATTCCTTTGCCCGTCCCAACGGACAAATAGACCAAAAAAATGACAAATAGATAATGGTGTCAATTCTGGCGTGCATCTCTAAACTTAAAACTAAATTAAAGGTCAGTCTCACCTTTTCATTCTGTACAGAGAAGGACAAGGATGCACTGTTGTCAAATTTAAGTTTAGGTTTAGAGAATCATGCCAGAATCGACATCAATGTCAAATAATATGTCAATATTTGCAAAGTACGTGTCGTACGTTGTTTCCCAAAAGAAGTTAAATTAAAACATTGCTTAATAATAATAACTATAAGTAGGTAATTAATATAGAAAGTATGAAAAATGCGGTTACCTGGTCGTGCTACTAGAAGTGGATCAGTTTCTATCAAAGCTTTGATTTCCTGGCCCAGCAGTTTGAATTCGCCTTTGATTTCTTTATATCCTTCTTTTAAATGTTCCGATAGTGAAATCTTTTGAGAAGTATCATATCCTCCTTTTCTATCACGCTCCCAAAATAAAAAGCGACTAGAAACATTTTGCGTAATTGGCAATTTTGCTTTAGGTTGTATCACATTTTTAGTTAAAAACGAATGTTGCCGGCAATTATTTGAAATGCAGCTTAAGGATTTTAATTTTAAGAAAGACTTCATTATAAGAGCATCAGCGAGTTTTCGCTTTTTTACATTACAAATTAAAATATTTTCCTGTTATTTTTTCGCTGCTACTGGGTAGGTTAGGTTTTGTCAGTGTCACATAAGACAGGACAATGACATTGACAAACAGCTGTCTGGCTGCGTTCAGAATCAAAACCTACGAATCTCGCTGCTACGCTCCAGATATCTGCAAATTATCGTGTTCAATGTTTGATATTAAACGGATGCAATACATATAGTGTCATATAATTAGCTCGGAAGTCGTTTAAAGATTTTAATATTTTTTGTACTTTCAAGCTAAGGATGTAAAATTGAAAATTAGAAGGTTACTTCACCCAGGGAAAAATAATTATCTCATCACTTAAGTTACTGTTTGCACACACTATTAGAAAGTGACAGCTTCCACTAATTGAGGTTTAATTTCGGTGCGATCAAACTATGATAAGGGCATATCTATTCAAATCTTTGGTGTGACCTCACTGCGGTTGGCGACACCACTGGAACTGTAGTCTGCGGTTGCTGGACGCCACAACCTGCGCGCCGCCAATGCCCTTCATCTATCAAAAGTCGCTTGAAAAGTACGGTTTGCAAAAAAATCTTGGAATACTTTTTTAGCACTCAGCTGATTATGGAATAAAAACCAAACATTTGTAAACAAACAATAACAAATATTGATAATTAATACTGTTTGATATATTTTTTTTTTCATCTATTGAGAGCTCTGACTGGTAGATAACCTAAATCGTCAACCAAATGTCACTAAGTTCCGTTCAATAACTCAATTTAAAACTTTCGTTTATATAAAGGATGCATGTTCGTATGTGACTCACGCGGTAATACAGAGATGAGCGGAATTAAAGAGCTAAATTCTGATTAATTATTATTCTTATTAATCTTCTTACACAGTCTTAATGAACAAATGATGTCGATTCTGGCATAATTCTCTAAAGCTAAACTTAAATTTGATAACAGTGTATCCTTATTCGTATACAGAATGAAAAGGTGAGACTGATGTTAAATTTAGTTTTAAGTTTAGAGAATCATGCCAGAATCGACACCAATATTATTAAAAATGGGCTGTTTCTTTTTCACAATCTTAATAAATATTTAAAAAAAAATCTTATGATTTTCTCACTTAATTAGGGTTGCCATCTCTAAAATGTGGCAACCAGGACAAGACGCGGGAAACCCCCGGATTTTAGAGCCCAAAACCCGGACACACCAATAAAAAAAACAGTTAAAAATGTCACAAATCAACTTTTTTTTATGTTGATGTAAGCAAAAGAGCTAGCAGTCCACCTGATAATAAGTGGTCACTGCTGCCCATGGATGCTTGCAGCATCAAGGGCCACTCATGCGTTGCCGGCTCTGAAGGAAAAGGTGCATCCGCCTTTTTAAAACTACCGTATCGTAGTTATAAGAAAAAAGTACTGAGAGAAGTTCGTTCCAGATCATGCTGGTACGCAAAAGAAAGGAACGCATGCTGCTAGAACGCCAAGGGTCTAGATGGTGAGCGTAAAACTTCTTTGCGGTTGAATAATTCCTCGGAATACCATTGTATGGTACGGTCTGAGTATGCTAAGGGTTTGCAACGCGTCAGTGAGCTCAGGATCATCGATATGTCGAACTGCCCGATTTTGTATCCGGTCAAGAGGAAGTAGCTGGTATTGAGGTGCTCCAGCCCAGAGGACCAGTGCTTTGTAAACAACACCCTATATTTAGGCTTCAGGTATTTACTCGATCTATTGAGCACCCGAGCTTTTTCACACACACTTGTGTCTTTGCTGGGTTAAGACAATCAAATTTTGTTGGCTCCAATTTGAGACTTAATCCAGTAACATTTCAATCTCTCTCGGACACAAGTCTGTCTTTACACCTTTCTACTTCTATTCGAGGGATGTTTGACCAACCAGTGTAAAAAGTGACAGTGCTTTCATCCACAGAGCAACGAATGCTGTTATTGCGTACAGCGTGGGTGACAGAGCTGATCCTTGTAGGACGCCAGCATTTAAGGGTACAGTGTTAGAATAGATTTATTTATTTTCAAAGACATAAAAATTATCACGGATAAATTGGCGACCCAAAACAGGAAATTTTTAAACCCGGACTACAAATGAAACCCCGCCCGGACGCTCCCCGGACGCTCTGTAAACTAGGACAAATCCGGGGAAATCCGGACGGATGGCAACCCTACATTTAATCTTAGTTAATAAGTTTCATTACATAAAACTTTTTTTTGCTCACTCTACCTATTTCGTTTGACAGCTATGACGTCGCCCAGTCGGTCCTATTCTTAGTTTTTTTTTTATTTATTGGCAATGGATACTCCTTTTCTTAGTTGAATCCACTGATGCCAGATGGGTTGGATTCCCCCCAAATTTGGGTGTTTTCCAAGCGATGGGGGGATAATTAGGGGCAAAATATTTTTGGGGAAAGAAATTTGGGTTTGGGGTAAATGGGGGGTTTTTAATTCTATTTTCTATATAAATATAATACCAACGTTTAATCTGTAAAAAGTCGCGATCAACAGTCTCTCTTTCTCATTCGGTATAGAGCATGACAAGGATCTAAACTGTTGTCAAATTTAATTTTATTAGGCTTAGAAAATCATGCAAAAATCGGACAGTGAGCCCGATTTGGACCACTAAATCTAAAGCCCATCTAAAAAAGTACGCTTTAGTCCATTCCGCCTAGCTCAATCGCTCGGTCAGTCAAGTCCATGTCAAGTCAGTTAGTCGTTAACGGTCGTTAGTTTAAACTGAAAATCAATTCGACACTATCTATCACCTTGGCTCTGCTAAATCGTAATTTGTCCTTTTAATTGTTAGCACCTTGGTAAGATAGTGGCACTGCACTATCCAAACAAAGTTATGTAACAAGATTAAAGCCAGAAATATATTATTATTTACGTGTCATGTCGTGTCGATCGAATATATTTCTGGCCTAAGGAGTGGGAAAGACGACGAGTGCGAAGAAGTTGATTTAGTAATGCAGGGTTATCAGGTCTACCGATTTTACAGATCTCCTGTTTTTCTGAAATTTCTCCCGTTCCTCTGTTTTTCTACATAAATCTACTGTTTCTCTAAAAATACGATTTTCTTGTTAAAATTGCATGTTGCGTTGCGATTTTCGCCATTAAGAATGTAGGTTAACCTTAATCTGAAATAAATGTTATTTAAAGAAAAGTTTACCAGAAAAAAAAACTAGTAAACTTTTCTTTAGATTTAAACATCTAGCAGTTAAATGCTTAAAAAATAAATAAACATAACTATAAATGTTATTGTCTAAAACTAAAAAACCAGCTTTGAGGGGTGGCAGAAGGTACAGAAACACGTTCGTTATTAGCCTATATCTTGATTTGATTTACCAATTAAAAATCAGATCATGGCAACACTGCAGTAATGGATGCTATTGCAAAAATACATAATTTTGTAGTAAATATAATGTATTTTTAATAAATATTTTGTAAGTGGGGTTTTTTTGCTTTCAAAACCTGTATTTTGGGGGCATTTCAGGTAAGTTTTGGGGGGAAGGCGAAATGGCTTTCTGGTAAGTGGTAAAAGTGGTTGAATCGCTGTCGCATGAAGATTCCACGCCGTAGGGGTGTACACTTAAAAATATATCGATACATGTAATCCATATAAAATATCGGAATGCTATATCGATGTTTCTCGATATATCGATATTTTTTCAATATCGATAATTTTTTACAAGTTTTATTTACTACGAGTATTACTTTAATAGAATTAGAGATACGAGTAAGACGTTGCTGAGATGATTTTTATACATGTGAATGAAACACTACAAATTTATAGTCGAAATATTTTATTAGAATTCTTTGTAGGAAAAAAAGTTTACTTGGTCTTTGCCTTTCATTCTGTTTCTATGTTGGTTGACTATTTGAGGATTTCGTTTGAAAATGACCTTTTAGATCTTACCAAATTTCTAATTGGATTTATTTGAATCAATATGTTTACAAATATTGAGTAGGTTTCTTAAATTACAGAAATAGTGAGTTAAGGTGGAGATTTTTTTCGAAAAAACTTCATATGTATTTACATTTTTTTTTTGGAGAAAAATAATCTTAATCGTTTTCTGAAATAGCTAGTAAAGTTTCTTAAGTAACTCAAAATTCACGGTGTATAATATAAACAGGACATCACTGTTACCAGTAAAACGGAATAAGTGCGAAATGGAGAACGGAGGTCTTTTTTCCCTTTCTAACAGGATGACCCTAACTTTTATTTATTGGAATTCAAATATTAAAACAAACAAGGAGAAGTCATGACTTCTCCTTCTTTTGCATGCAGAAGAAGATACCTTCATCAACCTAAACACCGTGGAAGGCATTTTGTTTTGTTGAATTTTTAATTTTTGGGAAATTCTGCTAGCATTGTGATCTATAAATTCAATATATCCTGCTTCTGGTATGCACATAATAAATTCATTGACACTCGGTTTGCCAATCTCCTTTACTTCGGTTTTATTGTCATTATGAGTCAGCGTTTACGATTCGATATTTTTATAAATATATCGATATATCAAATTAAAAAAAATCTATTTCAAAACATCGTATCACCCGTTACATCGTATGGTAAATATCGAATAAATTCGATATATCGATATTAAATGAATATCCCTTGGCATGACGTATTGAGTTGAGTTGGCGAGCGAAAACCAAAACTTTTTCAAGGTTCAAGGTTACTCCTTTCACCATTTACTCATGAACATGATTGTAGTTTAAGCACTGTCCAGTACTTTGAATATGTTTTAGGTGAAAATTCCTGAAAACTCAATCCTTCAAATGGGTATCGAGAAGATTAGCGATGATGGGGTAAGTTGAATTTTACACTATTACATTACTTCTTAATATATTACAAGTCTATTTTGCTGTTTCTTTCTTTAATATTATGATTGTTATTTCCGTAATAAACTGGTTAAAGTAAATAAAATGTTGTAAAAAAGAAATAAATATCGAAGTATAAATTTAAATGTTTATCAGATGTTTCAATGTCTATGATTTTTAATTGTATGAACAATATACATACTAATTTTGATTTGATCAAGTTTACCCATTCTTTTGGGGAATGTAGCCTAACCTGCTAGCAAACAATCATCATGCGCAAGTGTAATAATCTTATGGATGAGCACTGAGACACAGAGCATGACATTTTGCGAGTATATACAAGATTCACATGTTTTGTTTTGCGGGTCATGCACACAAGTATATAAAACCTGGCCTGTTTTTATTGCAGTGTTTACAAGGTGACACACTATCTAGGGAGTAAATAATCAAAGGTTACAAGCTGTGCCAAAACTATGTATGGAGTGGTGTTAATTTGCTTGATATAGTTACTTACCTAAATCATTTTATTAAATGAGTCAATACATTGTTATAGGATGGAAAATTAGAATACCTCTATCCCCCTCATCTCCTGCAGAATTTAGATTTTAATAAAAGCCCAGCTATATTTAAACCAAAAATAAGTGCAGTGCAGCCTGGTGAGGACTGGATGGTTGTGCGACCTTTGCAAAAAAGTGATTATGATAAAGGATTCCTACAGCTCTTGGGACAGCTCACAAATGTTGGAAATGTGACTAGGAAGCAGTTTGATGGTAAGTTAATATTATGATTTATTATTCAAATAATCAATATTTTTAACACTCACACCAGTGAACCTAGTCCCACAGTAAACACTAAGGCTTGTGTTATGAGATAATATGGTAACGGATATGATATAATTATACATGTAGGTATATTCTTCCAGTTCTAGAAATAAATATATTTTGTAGGATGATTTGATAATGAATTTTGGGGAAAATCTTAGAAGTTTTGCAAAAGCATAGATAATTTGACAATGGTGATGACATATCTCAATATTATACTGGAAAAAGGTATTATTTTTGCAAAAAATTTATACTACATAATCAAAGTCATTACATGAACAAATAATTTCAAATTAATTTGCCTAGGCTATTATCTTTTTTATCAACATCAATGTTAATCACAATATTTATCAACTGATTATCTATTCCCCACTAATAGGTATAATAGTGGTAAACTGGTTGTCATTGTATGTGAAATATGCTGTGCATATTTGTAGAATGTTAAATACTAGTGACATTTAACTGGGTGACCTTGAAATATGCTGCTGTGTGATAATGAGCTAATGACCTTTTGAAAGGCTACATGTTCCTGTTCTTTATTAAAAGTTGACATAACTTACACTTACTATTTTGATGAAATCTACTGGAAAGATTTTTATAGAAGGCTGGTAATATTTTTAAAAAAACACACTTAACTTCAGATAATTTTAATAGTATTTGCCTAGGTGATACTCTTTTGTATAATAATTATAACACATAATAACAAATGCATACACTTTTTTTGTCTAATCTTTTTGAGACTCCAACAACATATTCTAGAGAAAACAATGATTAATAATAATTGTAGTTTAGTTACCAAGCACTGTGTTGAGAAATATCTAAATCATACAGAAGACCACAGTGAAATTAATAAAAATATATTACACTTATTTTTGTGTTTTGTTTCTGGTGGGGGATTGGGGACACTCTTTTGTATAATAATTATAACACATAATAACAAATGCATACACTTTTTTTGTCTAATCTTTTTGAGACTCCAACAACGTATTCTAGAGAAAACAATGATTAATAATAATTGTAGTTTAGTTACCAAGCACTGTGTTGAGAAATATCTAAATCATACAGAAGACCACAGTGAAATTAATAAAAATATATAACACTTATTTTTGTGTTTTGTTTCTGGTGGGGGATTGGGGACTCCACCTGGTAGGGCATTGGGTACTCCACCTGGTAGAGGATTGGTTTAAGGCCACTATGGAGAGGAAGGCTTTAGTGGAATTTTTTTTTGACATGTCAGCTTTCTACACATCTGGACTCTTTTGCTGCATTAACATCAAGACAATTGAAGCCTTGTCCAATTGTGCTCATGGTAAAACTGTACCTTCTTGGATCAAGAGGTGACACTTCAAATTGTTTTTGTTGAAAAGGTCTCTAATAACGCAGTTAAGCGCCAGAAGGAACTTCGCCGGCTGCTGCCGCGGTACGCTCGCTTCGGGCTCGCGTAAAGAAGTATCAACTCGTAGACCCAGAAAATACAGTTAAGCCTGGTTAATGAGAAGTACCGCATTATTAGTGTATAATATGACGATCTTTCGCTTTACGTAGTCATACGGACGCGATCGCATCCGTTCCAAGCTGTACTACCTATGCAACCGAATCGTCACAATCATATTAAAAATAAAGTTTGTACCTTGTTTTTTTCTTGCCTATCAAACACGATGGACAGTTCTGTTGTCCAAGCAGTAAAATAACTTTCTAGGTGACGTGAGGGTGTTCAACACGTCACGTCGGAAGATGCGTATTTCGATGCGCCTTTCCCTATAGGTTGATTTCACCATATATTGAATCAGAAGTTTAGTACTAAATTAGAGCCTCTACATACTGTACCGCGGCAGTCACACATACCGAACCGGTTTTATTAACACCAGCGTCCTGGGCGAGATTTCTGCGGCGCGATCCAAAAGAAAAAAGGGAAAGGATATAATGAAAATACTAAAATTTTTACTTTTGTAGCCTTTTTTATCTATCTATAAATCTTTTATTATGTTTTCAAAGTCGATGTTTTCTCCAATTTCATTTTAATTAACAAAATTGCCAAGTTTGTCAATCTAGATTGAGATATGTCGTTCCCAGATAGGTTTTTATCAGCTTAAGCTTACCCCCCAAACAAATAATAAAACAAACAACGTTACCTCTTAATTTTAATAAGTATACATAATTTAAATAAATTTGTACTTACTTATCTAATTAAACGGTATTTTTCCCTCAAAAAACAAATATTAGCTATTTTTCACCTTTTATATTTCAGCTCTTTGGATAAAACTAATGCTTTCTGGTTTTCTCCATCAAAATCCATCCCGGCGCAGACTGACCATCGACCATAAGTTGTCATAATAAAAATCCTACATAGCTAAGCTAAGATAAAAATTCATTGATTTTCCTGCATAAATGGAGAAAATACATAGAAGGTTGGTGGACCCACGTCCACGTTTCCTTTAAAAAGACCATTATATAATAGACGACCTCCGTGGCCGAGTGGTTTGTACGCCGGGTTTCATGGTGTCGCCGACTCGAGAGGTCCTGGGTTCGAATCCCGGTGGGGGCAGATGTTTGTGTGATGAATAGGTGCATTTGTACTCGGGTCATGGATGTTTAATATGTATTTCTATAAAAATACAGTATACGTATTCTATCCGTTACGGGGTACCGGCCTTATAGTGCTTACTTTGGGGCTAGGCTAATTGGTGTGTGTGTTGGAAATATTTATTTATTTATTTAAATTAAGACTAATAACGGAAATAAGTCTTAATTTATTATATATTGGTCTTTTTAATTCATATCGGTCATATCAGCAAACATTTTATGAGAAAAACCGAAGCCTGCAAAAGAGACAGCATAAATGTCAGCACAAGGGAGGACCTACAGATTAAATCGTTATATGCCGTAATCGAAAGGAGACGCTTCAAAGAAGTTCTCTAAGTTATTTAATATGTGTCTCAAGTACTCGTATCTCCCAAATAATTTAATGAAAACGATAGTAGTTCCAATTATTAAAAATAGAACGGGGGATGTGAGCGCGTCCAACAATTACCGCCCAATATCTCTGGGGACTGGGTAAGGTTCTCGAACGACTTGTGCAGCCCGAGGTTTCGAGAAACATTGAGATTGACGACGCCCAGTTAGGTTTCCGTGCCGGTCTTTCTACAGATTCAGCTATATTGACCGTAAAACATGCTGTTGACTACTACAGACGCCGTAAAATGTCTGTGTACGCATGTTTTCTTGATCTGAGCCGCGCATTTGATCTTGTGAACTATGAAGTTCTCTGGGGAAAACTGCGCCACACTTATGTTCACCAAGAAGTTGTAGCACTGTTCGAATACTGGTACGGAAATCATACTAATAGTGTGAGATGGGGCGACACGACTTCCAGCAGCTATAAGCTAGAGTGCGCGGTACGCCAAGGGGGGTTGACTTCTCCGGACTTCTTCAATTTATATATTAATGATCTGATTGGTGAGCTGAGGGGCACTGGTATCGGTTGTCATATTGGCGATGTATGTGTAAATAATATAAGCTATGCAGACGATGTGGTGCTCCTCAGCCCCTCAATCAGAGGTCTCCGTAAACTTGTTTTGATCTGTGAACATTATGCTAATGCTCATGGGTTGAAATACAATGTTGCAAAGACAGAAGTTATGATCTTCAAGGCGGGACGGGGTCCGGAGAACGTACCTGATGTATGGTTGAATGCCTCGGTGCTTCGGGTTGTACAGCAATTTAGGTATCTCGGGCACATCCTTACAGAGAACGGAAGGGACGATCTCGATATTGAGCGAGAGAGGCGGGCTTTATCAGTGAGGTGCAATATGCTCGCGCGAAAATTTGGTAAATGTTGTGATGAGGTTAAATTCATGTTATTTAACCTATACTGTCAATGTTTTTATATTTGCCAGCTATGGGTTGACTTTAATCGTATTCTTATGTAATCGTATCTATATTCTTATGAGACTACCGAGATACTGTAGCGCATCGGGCATGTTTTCAGATGCTCGTATATCAGACTTTTATGCTGTTATGAGAAGACGTATAGCCTCTTTTTGGTCACGAATATGTCTTTCTGATAACAGCATAATCAAAACTGAATGCAAAGGACTTGATAATCCTTTATTCAAATACTGGATTTCAGTGCACCAGAGTGAGAACCGAAAATGACGTAGGTAATATTATACCTGTTTTACTTCTACTGCCTTTTATGCTTTTATTTTATTTTTTATTATTATTTTGTTTACACTTTTACTTTTTTTTAATTTTGTATATGACTTTTTATTGGATTTTTTATGCCTGAAATAAACAATTATAAAAAAAAAAGGAAACCGGGTTGGGCTCTACAGTTGTGCAGGAAATAATACCGCAAACTCCATAGCTCGAGAAATAAAAATGTCAAATCTTATCTGGAGATGAACGGTCCGAAAATCACAGGAATAATATACATATGTTGGCAAAGCCCAGAATGAAATAACTCCCATCCAACTTTTTTTCACTAATTTGTAAAAAAATAAATACTCTGTTTCTCTATAATTTGAGAGGTCGGGAAAATCGTTTAAGATGAATAAAATCATTATTTATTTTCAATTTACTCGATTTATAGGTAAGTTTATCTTTTTGAACTTTCGCAACTTAAGAAATAATGACTGTATACACAGTAAAATTGTAGTTTGCTGAAAGACAGTCAAAGTTTAACAGGTATACTTTAAGGGAGAAGGGCGCCCTGGGCGGGCCACCGCGCGCCCCCCCTAACGCCGCTACTACTACTACTTCAAAAAAATTCTTTGTTACAGACAGATTTAACCAAATGAAACAATCAGGTGGTTATTATGTGACTGTTATAGAAGACAAACGCATTTCCAAAATCATTGGTGCTGCTACTCTCACTATTGAGCAAAAATTCATTCACAATTGCTCTTTGGTAAGTAATCCATCATCTGAGCATAGTCCTTTTCCAAACAACTTTAGGCTGATTAGGACCGAGCTACCCGTCTTCATTGACATTCCACAACCTTCAATAAATCATTGGACCACCTGACCTATAAATATAAATTATACTTACTACTCGTCATCCGACACGTGCTGGCTACTTGAGAACTTTCCTTTCCAATGGCTATGGGTTCTCCTCGCTAATTGTTTTTTGTTCACTTCCACTTCAGCTGAAGCAGCAATCTCGTTAGACGATTGGCACTCTGTTGCAGTTTTGTTCTTACAATTATGTTGTGGAGTTTCTTGTGCCTATTCTTCTCCACAGCTTCAAGAAGTCCTGAATTTATAATTCATCCTTGAAAAAAATACAATAAGACAATTTAGATGTGCTATTAAAAGGATCTTCAATAAAGGCAATAGCATTAAATATTTCAATAAGTTCAAAAGAAATGGAGTAGGTATGTTTAGGCTAAGAACTCACGGAGCTGTTTTTTCCGTTGAGCTGTTTTATTACAAAATTTGGGACACCGAAGTTTTGCGCAGTCCCGTAGAGAACACACTTACAGTTTCACATTCTACGCGAGTTGCGGTCCCCCGACCGCTGCGGCCGTCAGACGGTAAAAAAGCTCCGGAATTCTTAGAATGTAGAAACATTAATTAGGCACATAACTAATCAAGAACTTTTTTTTACAGCGAGGTCGGTTAGAAGATGTTGTTGTTAATGATACATACCGAGGAAAACAATTGGGAAAACTGTAAGTTTCCAAATAATAATACAATAAGTCGCCCAAGAAAAAAAATGTACTTCATTAAGATTTTCAATATGATAAAATTGCCTATTTTGCTGTCCTGAGATGGTTATAAAATGAGCTCTGGCATTATATTTACTAGATTACTTACTTTATAATATCTTACTGGTATAACTTATTCACATCTCTTATTCAGATTCTTGTAGTGTTTATTTCTTCTTACATAAAATGAACGCTTCATAAACAGAATAGTGGTAACTGTCTCACTTCTGGCGCAAGAGCTTGGATGCTACAAGATGTCTTTGGATTGCAAAGATAAGCTGATAAAGTTCTATGAGACCCTTGGCTACAAACTCGAAGCTGGCAACTCCAACGCTATGAATATGAGGTTTGTAATCAATCATCAAAACTTGCATTAAATTAATCTTCTCAGATTTAAGTTACCTGACAAATACCTTAAATATTAAAAGATACTCATACTCGCATGACAATTAATCAGATTTTTTTTAATAAGAATTCCAGTATTTTTTTTAAGATACTGAATATTATGACTTTAAAATCCTTTCACAACAAAATTAGTCTGCGATAGTTATATAGCTGTGCGTTTGGATCACTAGCTTTCTTGCGGACAGGGGCAACAAGGTCGCAGTCGACGGTGCATGCTCGGACTCCAAATCCGTAAACGCTGGTGTTCCGCAAGGCTGTGTGCTATCACCTCGCTCTTTCTTCTTCATATCAATGATATGCTTCAAATTGATGGCATTCATTGTTATGCAGACGACAGCACGGGTGATGCCCTATATACCGGCCACGCCAATATATCACGGGAAAACGTCATCGACTGCCGGAACAAACTTGTGTCTGAAGTCGAAACTTTGTTAAACCAAGTAATGAATTGGGGTCGACTTAATCTAGTCCAATTTAACCCTACGAAGACACCAGTATGCGCGTTCACCGCAAAAAAAATACCATTTATCGTATCTCCTCTTTTTCAGAACACTCCTCTAACTGCCTCAGCTAGTATTGGAATTCTTGGCGTTGACATATCGAGCGACGTCCAGTTCCGGGATCATTTAGAGGGCAAGGCCAAATTGGCCTCGAAGAAGCTTGGTGTGCTCAATAGATCGAGAATGTACTTCACACCGGCCCACCGACTGCAACTTTATAAGGCACAGGTTCGGCCTCACATGGAGTACTGCTCTCATCTTTGGGCGGGGGCACCCCAGTACCAGCTTCTCCCTTTAGATCGCATCCAGCGCCGAGCGGCTCGAATCGTCGACGAGCAGGACCTTTCCGATCAGCTTGATCCTTTGGCTTTGCGTAGGGATGTAGCTTCGCTCTGCATCTTCTATCGCATTTATCACGGGGAGTGTTCTGAGGAATTGTTCGGATTAATTCCAGCTGCTGCATTTCGCCATCGTACATCGCGACAAAAATTTCATCCCCATCATCTTGATGCGTGGCTATCCACAACCGTTCGTTTTTGTCGAATTTTTTTACCACGTACGACAAAACTGTGGAATATATTGTCGCCAACAGTGTTTCCGGACCAATACGACCCAAAAACCTTCAAAAAAAGAGCGTACTCCTTCCTTAAAGGCCGGCATCGCATTTGTGATACTCCTGGTGTTGCAAGTGTTCATAGGCGACGGTAATCACTTACCATCAGGTGAGCCGTCTGCTCGTATGCCCCCTATAACATAAAAAAAAAAGTTAGCTTACATTACCATGGTGTGACGCCCTTGAAGGCCTAGGCGGGGGGGATATTATGGAGCAATGCCTCAGTTGCGAAGCAACGGTGGTTTAGTGGTAGAAAGCTCGTCCGCTACGCAGGCGGCCCATGTTTGATCCCCAGCCGAGGAAGGATTTTTATTTCATTTTATATCAATTACTGAATTTCGGTAGCAATTATCCGCACACGCATTTAATTTTTTTAATTTAACTGAAAATTTTACACATTAGTGCGTAATCAATTAAATGTCTACGACTCAAAAATATTGTGTCCGTGATGTTAGCGTACCCACGATCAATATACGGTTTTTCGTTATGCCATCAAATACTGCGTAAATAGTGCCAAATTAGTGTAAAAATAAAAAAATAGTGCCTCTTAAATTTAAGAAATAAAGACCATTTTTACTGTGTACGCTAGCATGACGTCAAGCTAGTGTACCCATGGCCGTCCCCAAGAACGGCATATATTTAAGCAACGAAATTGACACACAAAAATATTTCGCAAATAGTGCCCTGGCTTTACAAAATTTCATAATCAATACTCTTAAGGGACCAAAGATATAGTACTAAACATTCTTAGCTGGCGTCAACCTGGCGTACCCATAATAGTTCTCATAGAAAATGAACTTTTCTCGTTATCAATTCTATATGTATAATAGTGTGTTAAATAGTGCCTCTAACAGGAAAAGTATTTTAAGCGAATTCGCATCACAACAAAACATAAAGAGGATGTTAAATTCTAGGAACAAATGTATTGTAGTACAGTTGCACACAAAATTAATTTATGCACTAAGAGATTATGTATATATATATATATTTTTACTAAAACTAATAAGTACCTTACTAACCTACTATACTACGAAAATATTATCACTTCTGTACATCACTGTACTTCATATATAAAAATAATTTAATTGCATTTTTTATATTGTTTTACTGCGAATTCACATAAAATACTTTTACTGTTAGAGGCACTATTTGACACACTATTTATACATATAGAATTGATAACGAGAAAAGTTCATTTTCTATGAGAAGTATTATGGGTACGCCAAGTTGACGTCAGCTAAGAATGTTTAGTTCAATATCTTTGGTCCCTTAAGAGTATTGATTATGAAATTTTGTAAAGCCAGGGCACTATTTGCGAATTATTTTTTTGTGTCAACTTCGTTGCTTAAATATATGCGTTTTTGGGGACGACCATGGGTACGCTAGCTTGACGTCATGCTAGCGTACACAGTAAAAATGGTCTTTATTTCTTAAATTTAAGAGGCACTATTTTTTTATTTTTACACTAATTTGGCACTATTTACGCAGTATTTAATAGCATAACGAAAAACCGTATATTGATCGTGGGTACGCTACCATCACGGACACAAAATATTTTGAGGATGTAAAAAAATTTAAAAGTTTTACAAATATCATAAAACAACAGCTTTTTTTTTTATTTGATTTTTGAATATGTTAACAGTTAGTAAACTGTCATAACTACGACTCATTAAATAAAACTACCGAAACATATTCAAAAATCAAATAAAAAAAAATGCTGTTGTTTTATGATATAAAATATGTAAAACTTTTAAATTTTTTTACATCCTCAAAATATTTTGTGTCCGTGATGGTAGCGTACCCACGATCTTGTCTTACTGGACAAACTACCAGTCTCAGCCCAAGGATGCTAAGAATACTGCCAGGGGAAATAATGGAGCATTAAGAGAAAGGGGAATGTCAAAGTTTGGGCAAGCGAATATAGCGGCCCGCGGCCGCTGCCGAGATAGGAGCCAGTGTATTTTGATTCGCTTGCAATGTAAGCGAGTATTCAAACACGACCTACCAATCAGGGCTTGCCGCGGCAGCCTCTGTCTGTGAGACGCTTTAATGTGTTTATTCGTTTGCAATTTAAGTGTGTTCAAACACGATCGACTAATAAAGACTGGCAGCGGCCGGAGGCCGCGTGTCTGTGAGACACTTTAACTTGACCGTGTAGTACATGGCAGCAATCCTGCTATTAATTAAATTTAGTATAATCTTTGTACTTATTTCATCAGGTTCGACGCACCATCCTGACAATTAGCCGCTGGGATGTCCGACCTGCGCTCCAAACTGTAAGTAATCTACAGCCGCCGAGCAGACTTCGCAACATCATCACTACATCTCATCAAGTATCTCAGCAACTCATCTGTTTTATAAACAACTTTTCTACTATTTTAGATTGGTAGTATAAATTTATAGTCACACATATTTTAAGTACAAGTTGACTATTTTATAGTCAGAATCAACATCTAGCCAGCGTGATTATTATAATAAACCATAGTAGATGTTAATGACTTGCATCAATAAAATGAAATTTCTTGTAATAGTTAATCACTATAAAATTCATCTAATAAAAACATATTGATTTTAAGCAAAACTGTGATCGAGTAACAGAATAAGTGTTACCTTGATTGTTTTTAATGTAATATTTTTTTATTTGCAATGTTGTCTCTTCGCCCATTTCAATTGAGCTTTGAATGACTAAGTCTATATACTCTCATGTTGTTTTCATCTTGACTGTTCTTTATTGTTACAAATTAAAATTAAAAAACTAAAACATTCTCGTCATTTTCAAAATTTATTTTTATATATAAATAAATATGTTTTTGTTGTGATTTCTGCTTGGTTTGTGGTTACAGTTGCAGGGTCAGTTATTTTATCCATCAAATTATTGCTTATCAGTCGACTTTCGATCGATGTGATTGATAACATATATTTGATGGGCTGAACAACTGATTATGGGTGTCCTAGCACATAATTTTGTTTTATTTAGTTATAAATTAAGGTTTTTGAGTTTGTATAACACTGTTATTTTGTTTTTGTTGCTTTAATAACATTAGAAATAACTTCATGCTTTTGTACTTAAAGAGATTAATGTGTAATAAAATAACTAATATCACTGCATTAAAAACTGTATACTTACTTCGGTCGTTTCATTTAATATTCATATTTATAAATAAAATCCCAAGGCCATTTTTCAAACTTTTATTTACAGAAGTGTAAATTTTAATAGCAGACAGAATTAGCAGGTATTCTCAATTTTTGACGTTTTTATTATTTAACTTTGGATAGTATACTATGGTGATTAACTCGGGATTTAGTCATTTTAGCTTTCACAATCAGATCATATTTTTATAACGGTTTCATACAATACAAGTGTTTAAAGATTCCATTCTTCATTCAAATGTTTTGGATGTTTAACTTAATTGATATTTCGTCCCGAGATTTTCAGCCTAGAACTATCACATTATATCTAATATTCCATTTTTTTAAGTTTCTTAAATACATATACATAATTATGTAAAACTAGAAATAAATAAACATTGAATGAGAGATTAAATAATAACCGATACAAAGAAAAACACGCCTTTTAATATTTGTCAATAATGTGAAATCGCTATCAGTGAGCAAATTTATATTTGGGCACTTTTTATTACACTAGATGTCTATAGACCTATAATGGAATGGCTTAAAAATAAAAACAATAAATGTTATGCTTTATCTATATTATAAACGGAATCGAAATGAAACTATTCAGTTAAAACAAAGTAGACCACTTCAGTCTAGTAGTTCGTTATCATAAAAACATACATATATAAAATATGTATAAATACATATAAAATACATTCCCTATCATTCTAACGGCTATCAGTCCTCGATACTTGAAATAGTGTAAACATCTGTCAGTCTGATGATTACTTAAAGGTACATCAAGTATTACATGAAACAATTTACAATCTCAAGTATCAGCCCTGGAATGTCAATAACAACATACACCATTACAAGCTTTACAACAAATTGACACCCTCATTTGCCGATTGCACATTCCCATTATGACGTAGGAAAAAAGCAAAGATGGGTAATAAATAATCTATAATATCAATAACTGTACATTTAAATATAGTTTGAAGTTAATGCGTAATTACAAGCTTTAGGAAAACCTGTTATGGATTTAGACAAAAATATATGTAGTAGAGAAGTTTACATAAATGTAAAGAATACCTCATACGGTGTGTGTAAGAAGAGTATACCTCCTCCATATATTCGTAAACTAGTTGTTAAATCGTTAACTCGTCGCGTCATTCTATAACCATCAGTTCTTATCCGAAACCGTACTTACGAACACTTTTAAGTACGTTAGAAAATATTCATTTTAAAACTTATCGACATCTAGTCTCTCTTTGAGCGTTCTATATTTGGTGCATATTATTTTACAAAATTTGTTCCCTAATATCAACCTCATGTTAAACAGAACTGATGATAGCTACGCCATCATATGTGTGATGCATTGTTGTATATATATTTTTTTTCTTTTACAAGAACAACTATGGTGATCGCCGGTGAATGCAAGACTACGGATGGATCTAACACCCATATTCTTAATCGCGTCCTCAAACGTTCCTCGACTCAAACTCATTCGAGGGCTCCTTAAGGAGTTCCTCCAAATAACCTCGAAAATGGTATTCTAGTTGGTATCTTGAACAAACTTGAGAATTCCTCCACTGAGAATTCCTCAACATTGTGACGTCATCATTTGGAGGATTTTATTTCTATAATGGTTAACAGAGGAAATATTACTTGTATGACTGTATCTTTTCTAAACCGAAATCTTCTTTGAAACGAATAATTGTCGTAAACCTTAAAAGGATTTGCGGCATCACGTAAATACCGTCGCGCCGGATAATTATATGGTTAATCATCGTGTATGTGTTACTGAATAAATAAATAAATAAATCGTATACTTAATCCATAAAATCCACAAATTCGTCAATAATCTCAAAATCAGACATAATTCTCGATAAAAGCAACTTGAAAACACCACTCGAGGAAGCCTTAAGGTTCGTCGAGAGCTACCTTGAGTTTGACAGTTTATTCCTCGACTCGACCTCCACTCGAGTGAGGAATATCTCAAGTGAAGGATATTTTTGTTGCCTAAGCATACGAATTTCCTCCAATGAGGTTGAGTCGAGTGGAAAAAATCTCGAGGAAACGACTAAGAATATGGGTGTAAGAATCTATATGCCTGAGGATTGCAGGATGCGTTAGAGAAATATTTAGGTCTATTATAATAGATAACATGAGTAATATTCATGCTACACAGTCAGCGATATGAAAATATACTAAAATAGCAAGTTTTGTGATTTTTCGTAAATCTACAATTTTAACTTTAAAAAAGTATTTCGCAGACACGATGTTCATTTGTCGTATTTTATCTAGTAAACATCAACTTAAGAAAATTATAAGGAATACAATCAGGATGATCTAAACTTATTAATTATATATGCATTTAATAACACAATAAACCTATTCCGTATTACAAATTTCATCATCATCATCATCTATTACATTCACATTGTGTTACGAAATATCAGAGTCTGTTTCCGCTTCCTACTTTTAATATCTACACAAATATTACACGGCAGGTGAATAAATCCTTGATGGTATGCAAACAAAATTCTTAAGAAAATTTATTTAACTATGCATGATATATACATATAATATGTTGAATTTTGAAAGTCCATACTATTGTGGTGTCAATGGAGTACAAAAGAGCTACGTTTTTTATTTACTTTTCGTTTTGGACTAAGACTTGAACGAATATTCACACTTGTTTAAACAAGTCAATATGTTTGTAAATTTTGTACTTTTTCATTAAGTAGTATTTTTTTTATAATGTAGCGCGATGGAACACGAATTTAGAGAGGCAAGCTATGTGTGTAAAACATTATGATAACCAAGCTTGTAGGTCTTGAGATATAATAGATAAAGGTGTCGATTCTGGCATGATTCTCTAAGCTAAATTTAAATTTGACAACAGTGTATTCCTGTCATTCTCTAAAGAGAATGAAAAGGAGAGACTGATGTTAAATTTAGTTTTAGATAATCTTGCAAGAATTGACACAAAAATTTAAGTAAAAATATGTTATAAATATTGTTTATGGTTCCATACCAACATTTTAACAAATGAACCCAATTATTACGTCAGCGGGTCAGGTTTGTATGTCATGAATAGATAGTAAAATTTATTCTTAAACAATAACAATTCATTAAATGAAAGCAAGTGTTAAATCTTGTGTGAGTTTGATAAGGACTTGTATTGGTTTTTTAATCATTAACTGATATTTAGAATTTCAATGACGATAAAAAACTGTCCTGAAAAATTCATTAATGTTGCAGCTATTGAAAATATACTCGAAGAGCTCTCTTGTTTATTAGAACTAATGTGATAAACTTTGATGAATGTAGATAGGCACAGTTCATTCAGCTGATCAGCAGAGATGACATCTTGAGTTTAAATTTATATTATTCAGATATTCTTAATCACATTGATGCGTAAACTCTACATCAACAAATTATCTTCCATTTGTTTTTAATATTTCACCATTTACAAGAGCTCAATAGTATGGGTAGATTAATATGATTTAAAACAACAGACATATTACTCGAGTCTTTGACATAAAATATTTAAGGAATGATCTATCATAGCCTGACTAGGAATATTAAAAACTCGCCATACTGTAACATACAAACTGAAGTAATTTAAACTTTTAACAACTTTACTCAGTAAGTAAAATGAGGCCAGTTCCTTAATATATTTCTAATCAAGCCATAAATGTAACCAATGAAATGGCATAACTAGAAACGATTACGGTAACATTATGGAAAAAGTTAGTGCTTACGTAATATGGGGGCGCTACTTAGTTTTCATAGAAACTTTAACCATGTGATAGTATTGCGGAGCTGTCAAAATTCATACTTGGGCATCAGTACTCTTAGTACGAGTTTGTTGTAAATTATGTTTCTATGTCCATTTTGGTAAAAAATAACCAAATGTACTTAAAATTTAAGAAGACGCAAATGATTTAATGATAGGATTTAAACACTGTTTATTTGTATTGTAACGAAAAAAATGGTTGCCTGTAAAGTCGGTTTTACGGGCGAAGATTTTACGTGACAACGTCTTTTTCTCGGTAGAATATTTATTGATATGAATATAATTAAATTGCACAATAGGAACAAGGAATTGAATGAAAATAAGAATTGCACAAATTTTAACTATAGAAATATATTTTGTTTACTAAAACATTGTACATGTAAACTTAAACTTAACACGAGAGACTCATCGTAACGTTACCGAGCGTTACACTTTTTCATAAGTGACTCCCAGCCGCAACCTAATTTAAGACGTTGTCACGTCAAAAATAAATCAGTACCCTTAGTATATAGTATGACTTAGTATGAGTGCGAACTCACGTAAACTATCATAGTTTTCGTAATTGTAAACTCGTACTAAGGGTACGGTTAATGAGTACTATATCGATTGTTCTCACTGCCGCGTGCCGCGTGAAATGTCACTAAATAAAACAAGTTTCAACGGGTTAGATTCACTGATTGTATTTATTTATTGACGTTTCCCAGCCTTTGCAGGAATGCGTCGTCAGATGTCTTTTCACTAGTTTGTTTTAGCGACTAGATCTATGGCATATCTATTAATTTTATAGCTTCTAGAGTAAGGAGGACTCACGCTAGACCGTGCCGGGCCCGACACGAGCGCCGGCCTTAAACGATGAGGGTAAAAATTTGCGTCACCAGTTGGCGCCACTGTGATATGGAGGTCTTTTGCATAGTTTTTAATCGAACGAGCATTTAAATTGATCCATAGACTATGACGACATACCTGATTTGACGGATGAGCAGACCATTAGTCTCAGTGCTGTCACCTGGCGCCCGGCATTCCAGAATACCCTAATTCACTCTGTTACCGCCACAGAACACAGAAAGAGGTTAGAATGGCCTTGTGGGCGGGGCAGGCGCGTCACAGTTATGAGCAAATGCTCATAACTTGACCGTAACGTCCGATCGCGTCGTTTAGTTGCCCGCGACCGCTCAGTACGAGAGTATTGTGATTACCGCTTAAAATATGCCTTCGTGTGCCGTAATTACTTGCAAAGTAAGGAGTGAATCATCAAATCTACCTAAAGCAGGAATTTCTTTTCATCGGTAAATATACAACTTCTTAGTTACACTGATATTTTAGCAAAAAATCGAGAAATTTTAATAAAACGATAAATCACATATATATTTCCACAAAAATATACATTGCTGACAAAGTACGTTCGCTATTCTTTCTACGACATTCAAAACACGTAACGTAGTACGATCGAGCAAGAATGACGCGTGGATCACAGAGCGCTGCACGTGGCCGCACGCAGTACAAGGTCATTGCATCTACTTTAGTGGTGTCTTGCGTAGTACATTTTACATTTTCGATAGATTTTATCGAATTAAAGTTACTTTTAGAAATAAATAAAAGCTGATTGTGAATGTTTATCATACTTAATATTATAAAGGCGAAAGTTTGTGAGTGTGTATGTTTGTTACTTCTTCACGTCTAAACGGCTGGAGCGTTTTTAATAAAATTTGGTATGGAGTTAGCTGACACCCTGGATTAACACATGCGCTACGTTGAACTGCGGGAAAATATCCAGATCATTGCCTAGCCACACTTGAACTTGATAATTAATACACACGATACAAGTGTTGAAAGGCAGAAGCAGATGTTGGAGGCAGACAATACCACTGTACTGTTTTACTGTTCCATGCAGATTTATATCCCATAGTAGGCCTCAGAAAGATATTATAACAGTTATTGTGGTACTTAGCTTTAGCAGCAACTAAGTTATACTCAATATGTAAAATATGAATTTTCTAATTATTAAAACAGCGATGTCTCACGAATGGTGTGTCGTGAGAGAAAAAGTGACTGGACCAGTTTTGTAGAGAATTGTATGATCTTCAACTTTAGTCAGAGCTATTTTCACGATAAAACTTACCGTTTTCGAGAAAAATGGAAAGAACCATAATTTTGTAAGTTTGACCTTGAGTAAGTTTTGCAGAAGTAGGATCGAAGGAGATTTTAGACATTTTATTTATAATGATGTATTTAATTTCTCTGCCAATTTTCAGCTCTATGCAAATTATCCCTAAGTTATGACTTATTTTTCCCTTTTTAGACTGGACTATAGAGAGAATTAACTTGTCCACACAGTCAGTAGAAAGAGATTGTAAAGAGCCATCTGAAAACGAAGAGGATGAAGATGAAGATTTTACTGATTTCAGTACACAAGTCATTGCCTACATAGCAGGCAATGTGGTTCATGTCCTTATAAAAAAAAAACTAATGCGATATTTGCCTTGGAGCCCTAATATCAGATTCAAGTAATAATTAACATAAATTTATTTCGTTAAAAGATAAATGTGGCCTGATATATCCGGCCGTAGTGATGTTATAAAAATATGCAAAAGTGCAGAAACTGTAATACGACAACATGCAGATAATTTGAAAAATGTCAAAAAAGAAATTTTAGTCCAAAAAATATAAAAAAAGTTTATTGGCTATTTGATGTTTATTGGTTAAGTTTATTATTTGATGAAATATCATTTTATCAAGTCGGTGAATTCCCATTATCTAACCACGTAAAAGAATCAATTAAAGTGGTAATTGAAAAATATATAGATATATTTCTTTTGAAAAATAACTTTAAAAAAGAAACAAAGCCTCACCTTTCTCATAAATATATATTGTTTAAAGGTCAATAAATAACTATCTGTAGTAATGCGTTTTACATTAAATCATTTTCTTTATCTTAACTGACTTTGACAGGATACAAAAAAATCCATACAACCAAGTCAAGTCCAACTCGCACTTGGCATATTTAATATCGATAATATTTCATCGACTCAGTGACAACCACTAGAGCTAAAATCGGTGTGAACGAATGAACGACTGTGCGATTCGATGAGCGCTGATTCGTTCGGTTGCTTGATGTCGCGTCGTTTGATTGGCTTATTATCTATTAGGTGGAAGTGTAGTGGGGACGAGCCGGCGACATCGGTTCTCACACTGGCGATCGCTTATTGCCATATTATCACCCTTCTAACCTCTTTCTGTGTTCTGTGGTTACCGCCATAGAGGTATAAGAATAGAGTGGGGAAGGTGACTCTCAGTGTCCTCTTCTTTCTCTTTCTACTAGACAGTAGAAAGAGAAAGAAGATGAGAGACCGCTAGCTATATCTCTCTCTCTTGTGACGCATGGCATCCAATGGCATCACATCGAAAAAGTAAGATGCTTACGGTTGCCAATGCGTATGCGCGATTAGAGAGAGAAAGCTAGCGGTTTCTCACGTTCTTTCACTTTCTATTAGAGGGACACTTCTACTTGTAGCCTATATCTCCCCTACTCTATTCTTATACCTCTATGGTTACCACTCGGTATAGCATGTCCATATAAAATGTATAATCATATAAGTTGGCGGCCGACGCCCGGATCCGAAACGGTGCAGCGTGAGTCATCCCTTACTTGTTTCTCGCTAATTGTTGACAGTGGAAGAGATGCTTAAATGCACTTTGTATATAAATTGATAGCAATAAATAATTTTACGTAAACATTACTTTTATTTAAGTAAATTTATTTTCAAGTTATGATTAAAAATGTGAATCTCTATATGTATCGTATGATATACTCAATTCTGTATTTGTTTATAGGTGTTTCATAGATTTCACCAGAGTTAAGTTTTTAGTTCAGTTTTGACTTTATCGAACTTTTCTTTTCTATAGTACGATTACTCGTACAAAGGCGATTGTGAAAACACAAGGTGAACATTTAATTTACAAGATTTGAGTAGTAAAAATTAACTATTTAGTACAGAATAAACGTGCTCACGATGCCAGTAACGTTCTGTCTGCAGTCGAGTGGTGTCTGTCACACAAACCACCATTGAGACCATGTTCTTGCGACCACGAAACCTGTAATACATATAAATTTCTTTAACATAAATTTTTAGTTTCTAAATTCGATTATAAAGGTATGAGCTGTTTAAATGCGTTTCATAAAATAATAAGTGCGCTTGACAATATATAAAATTGTACGATATTCCATTTTTGATACACAACTACTTTCGTGATGATAAGAATAGCGAATACAGTTTTATATGATAAGAAAAAAAGGACATAACAGTGTCACGGTAATATTATCTATACAGTATTGTGACTCGGCTCTGTCCTTGAAATAACTGTACGGCCGAGCAGGGTGTATCCACGCGGTAGGGCTGCCTGCCTACAGTATTTTAATTTCATCTACATAATTGAGTTTCTTTCTAGTTTTGTGATTGTAAATATTTTATTTCATATGTAAAAAGAATATATTGTGAATGAATTAGAAAGTGTTACATAAAATACATGTTATTTTAAGTGTAATATTTAATAATAAAAAAATATAGATTTGAGACAGAAAAATATTTACGCCTCGACTGAGACGTACGAAAAGCTTTATTATTAAATTTAATAGTATAATAAATACGCATTCGCATAAAAAGTTTAATTATTGAAGAGAGCAAGCAACCAAAAACAGTACAATATCAACTATTGCTGTATGCCATATTAAATTATGTAGGTATCTACTTAATTCAATCAAATATTCACAATACAAACGTTTAAGCACGGTTAACTGCTTAAAAGAATTGACACCGTTCGGTCGTCGCTGCTATTCGCGCATTCGCGACTGGATGCCCACCGGGTGCCGCGCGAACTCGAGTGGCGTAGGTATGACACACTTTCCGACCGTTTGTATGAAGATAGAATCATCAGCATCATATCAGCCGTATGACGCCCACTGCTGGACATAGGCCTCCCCCAAGGATCTCCACAACGATCGGTCCTGCGCTGCCCGCATCCAGCGTTTTCCCGCGACCTTCACCAGATCGTCGGTCCACCTTGTAGCGGGTCTTCCCACTGAGCGTCGTCCGGCACGCGGTCGCCATTCGAGAACCTTTCCGCCCCAACGGCCATCGGTTCTCCTCGCTATGTGTCCCACCCACTGCCACTTCAGCTGGGCTATTCTTCGAGCTATGTCGGAGACTTTAGTTCTCCTACGGATCTCGTCATTTTTGACTCGATCACGCAGGGAAACACTAAGCATAGCTCTCTCCATTGCCCGCTGGGCGACCTTGAGCCGTCCTATGAGACCCATAGTAAACGACCACGCCTCACTGCCATAGGTCATCACTGGCAACACACACTGGTTAAAGACTTTCGTCTTAAGGCACTGAGGTATTTTGGACGCGAAGATGTTCCGCAGCTTCCCGAACGCTGCCCATCCGAGTTGGATTCGACGAGAGATCTCTTTCTCGAAGTTGGACTTACCTAACTGGATTGTATGTCCTAGGTAAACGTAGTGGTCAACAACTTCAAGTGTAACGTTCCCAACATTAACTTAAGCGGGTGCAACATGGGCGTTGGACATGATTTTCGTCTTGTCCATGTTCATCTTAAGACCCACTCGCTGGGATGCGTCACTAAGATACTCGAGCATGGTGTTCAGGTCTTCCAAGGTCTCCGCCATTAGGACTACGTCATCGGCAAATCGAAGGCGTGTCATTTACTCGTCGTTGATGTTAATGCCGAGTCCTTTCCAGTCCAGAAGCTTAAAAATATCCTCCATTGTGCAGTGAACAGTTTCGGAGATATAACGTCTCCCTGTCTCACCCCTCGCTGTAGTTGGATAGGATTAGAGCTCTGATTCTGTACTCGGACCGACATAGAAGAAGATAGAATACTGTATAGATAATATTACCGTGACAGTGTACATCTGTTGGGCTTGTTGGATAAATAAATTAAATATTCAATCCTTCATTCGTCATCAGCCTTTTAATTTTCCCACAGTTTTAAGGCACAGACTATGCGTAGAATAGGAAATTAAATATGAAAAACCTAATACGCAAATGCAGCGTCATCTGTAGAGTATAGTTGTGAAACTTAACTCTCCTGGGGCCCTCTAGAATGTGCATATACCTACATTTAGTTTTCTTATTTGTTTCTTAAGTTTTCACGCACACCCCTCATTAAATAATCGAAATCTCAAAATTTTCCAACCCGTTTTTTAATATTATTTAAATCGTGTGGTGCGAAACGTCGAGTTATGTAAAACGCACTTAAAACCCGTTGGCAACATTATTTTATTACTAGTGGCCGCCTGTGACTTCGTACGAGTGGAGTTAGTGGTACTTTTGTATGGTAGGTATCCATGCAGTACTTTTTGAGTTTAGCCCGGACATACATACAGACAAAAATTCTGAAAAATATATTTTTGGCTTCGGTATCGATTGTAGATCACACCCCGAGTATTCTTTTAAAAAAATATTCAATTTTATTATATGTATAGATGGGAAAGTTTGTATGTTTTGTGTGTTTGTTACTCAATCACGCAAAAACTTCTGAACGGATTGGGATGAAATATGAGCTGGACTGACACATAGGATACTTTTTATAGCAGAAAAATTACTTTAATTAACTTTCTTTATACCTGGTCCAATAGTTACGTTGAGGAAGTTGCCATGTTTTGTAACCGCAGTGACTAGAACGGCGGCGCTGATATCTTGGTGCCTAATTTCATGGGCCCCTGGCCGCGCGCGTTCCTTCTCGCCTCCATTTCACGTTGCCTCTGCACCTTCCTCTCTTCGCGTTTCCGTCTCATCTCGTCCATTTTAAATGCGTTGTTTTCTGTGGTGGGTTTGAAGAGTTGAAATTGAGGTCAGTTGTGTTGTGGTGGACAACATAGCATGTTAGTTTAATTTCAAGATAAATGGCTTAAATATTTGCAAACATGGGTTTCGCCGTATTCACAATTAAAAATTTACGTTTTATCATACAATCTGAATTTTGCTGCTAGCTACTAAGGCTGCTCAGAGGACCAAGCACAAAGTTTTGGTAGATTTGTAACGTATCGCAATTTTGTATGGAAAAAGCAAGTTGATACATACGCCTAATAGGTGCGCTGCTAAGTTTTCATAGAAGCATTGTCGATGCGATACGTTACGGAGCTCGACCCCTGTGTGTTCTAGAGATGTTCGGCATATGGTGAGGCACGTAGCTTGCAACCGCGTTGTCAGATATGAACATTATACTGTTTGATATAAAGCTCAATATATGTGCAGTTACCGTCAGCGTTCTCCTCTATAGCCTCGAACTCCGTATCCTCCTAGCCGGCGAGTGACTCGTTGCTGTTCTGATGGTAAGCGGTAAGGGGCGCGGTACGGGCGGGGGCGGCGGCGCGAGTATGAACCTTATACTGTTTGATATAAAGCTCAATATAATGTGCAGTTACCGTCAGCGTTCTCCTCTATAGGCTCGACATCCGTATCCTCCCAGCGGGCGAGCGAGTCGTTGCTGTTCTGATGGTGAGCGGTAAGGAGCGCGGTACGGGCGGTAGCGGGGGCGGGGGCGGCGGCACGAATATGAACCTTACACTGTTTTGATATAAAGCTCAATATATATGCAGTTACCGTCAGCGTTCTCCTATATAGGCTCGAACTCCGTATCCTCCCAGCCGGCGAGCGAGTCGTTGCTGTTCTGATGGTGAGCGGTAAGGGGCGCGGTACGGGCGGTAGCGGGGGCGGGGGCGGCGGCACGAATATAAACCTTACACTGTTTGATATAAAGCTCAATATATATGCAGTTACCGTCAGCGTTCTCCTCTATAGGCTCGAACTCCGTATCCTCCCAGCCGGCGAGCGAGTCGTTGCTGTTCTGATGGTGAGCGGTAAGGAGCGCGGTACGGGCGGGGGCGGCGGCGCGAATATGAACCTTATACTGTTTGATATAAAGCTCAATATATGTGTAGTTATCGTCAGCGTTCTCCTCTATAGGCTCGAACTCCGTATCCTCCCAGCCGGCGAGCGAGTCGTTGCTGTTCTGATGGTGAGCAGTAAGGGGCGCGGTACGGGGGGATAGCGGGGGCGGGGGCGGCGGCACGAATATGAACCTTACACTGTTTGATATACAGCTCAATATATATACAGTTACCGTCAGCGTTCTCCTCTATAGGCTCGAACTCCGTATCCTCCCAGCCGGCGAGCGAGTCGTTGCTGTTCTGATGGTGAGCGGTAAGGGGCGCGGTGCGGGCGGCAGCGGGAGCGGGGGCGGGGGCGCGCGGCCTCACGTACGTAGCGTTCGCGTTGTTCAACGCCTGCGGTCCCTCCAACCATTGCGAGTTGTTCCACGTCTCTGAAGGGCTGACTAGTTCTGCTTCGGCCGACTAAAGAATATAAAAAAAATATAAAAATATATTTTTTTAAACTTTCATTGTCACTAAGTGCCTGTCTGTAGACATCTCCACGTCATGACGTCGTCAACGTGGAACGTTGACATAACCATGCTTTGATGATATAACCGTATCCAAGCTTAGTGTAGAATCTATCAATGAATGTACAGATATTGGTGTCAATTCTGGCGTGATTCTCTAAACTTAAAACTAAAATTAAGGTCAGTATCACCTTTTCATTCTGTATAGAGAAGAATAAGGATGCACTGTTGTCAAATTTAAGTTTAGCTTTAGAGAATCATAGCAGAATCGACATCGTTACTAATTTAACATTCAACAAGAGTTTATTTTACAAAAAAAAGTATCCTACGTCTAAGTATATTAGAATGGTTTTTACTGCGAAGGTATTTGTAAACTCATAGCTAATAATGTAAACAAACAAGAAGTCGTATTTGTCAATGTCAAGACGTTGTGACATTTTTAGTTTAGTTTTAATTTTCTTGAAATTGGAAGGCATGAGCTCCTCATTTCATACAGCCAAGTTTATACTTTTTTTATTCATAGACTTAGTATGTAATATGTATAATTAATGTTTTGTTTGATTTTCATAATAATTTTGCAGCAATGTTTATGTACCTTTTTTTATTGTTTGTTCATTTACAAGGCAAGACATGTGCCTTCCTGTTTCTGTGTTTGTATTGTTGCTCAATGTTTTTTTTTTCTCTCGTGATTTTGTTGTTAATAATTATTATTCTGCTTAAGCTTTTGTAATCTCATACTAGTTGCTTGGTAAGGTGTGCAGTTTTTATTATTGGTTATTCAATTTTTTTTTTGTTATTAGGTAATATTTTGTACTTTATATTATTTATTATATATATTTAAGTATTTATGTCAGACACAGATGATTTTCATTCGCTGCATGATAGTAGCTCGTCGTTTCACTCCCTTGACTCCTCGTTAGATCTCTCATTGAAACAGGAGCTCACACGTGAAATTAACAGTTTTGCCAGTTGTTTCAGAGCATGTCACATTAATGCACAGAGTATACCCTGTCATATTACTGACTTTCTCGATGCTTTCTCTACGGATACAGTGAACGCCGTGCTTGTATCTGAAACCTGGTTGAAGCCATGTTTGAACTCCTCCTTGTACTGTCCACCAGGTTTTTACTTATTCCGTAATGATCGCGTCGGTAAGGGTGGTGGTGGTGTGGCTATTTACTTGTCGAGCCGCATACCAGCGAAAGTTTTATATTCTTCTTCCTCTCGTCATGACTGCATGGAGCATCTGCTCCTGGAAGTTGATATTTGGGGTACTAAGATTATTCTCGGAGTCGTATACTGCCCTCCTTCCATTGATTACTTCTCTGACCTTGAGTCGTTAATTGATTCCATTGCTACTGATTATAGTCACCATGTTATTATGGGTGACTTCAATACTGACCTTTTAATAAATTCACCTTCTTCTCGAAAGCTTCGCTCTTTGATTACGTCGGCAAACTTTTCTTTTTTACACCTTAAATCCTTCACATCATAATCTTAATACATCCGATTCGTGGATTGATCACATTATTGTCTCCTCCTCAGATCATGTCGTTAAATATGGTCAAATCCCTGCCCCATGCTTCTCCAGACATGATCTCATTTATATTGCTTATAATGTGAAGCCTCCAAAATCGAAGCCAAAAACTATTTCCATTCGTAACTTTGCGAGAATGGACACGGAAGAACTTAAGCGTGATGCGTGTTTACTTGATTGGTCTCCTATTCATGAAATGCTTTCGGTCAACGACATGGTCACCTACTTTAACTCTAAGGTCCTAAAATTATTTGACAAGCATGCTCCTTTAAAAAAGGTCAAATTAAGACGTCCCCCCGCACCCTGGATTACACCTGGTGTGCGTATGGCCATGCGAAAGCGCGACAGAGCATTTCGCATTTACAAAAGATGCCGTACTGATACGCACTGGGATGCTTTTAAGACTGCCAGAAATCGTTGCAATCAGATGGTAAGAAAAGCTAAACGCCATTACATTAATAAGAATATCCTGGAATCTTCTCCTGCGGATACCTGGAAGTTTCTACGTACTCTCGGCATTGGAAAATCACAACTTCGCCATAAGCCTTCTTTTCCGTTAGATGAGCTAAATAAACACTTCACTGCTATTAAACCTGTTCTTCCCAATGTCAAACTCTCCACTATCTCTGTTCTTTCTTCCAAGGTTCCCTCAACAACTTCACAATTCTGTTTTAGTTTCATAACTGAGGATGAAATCCGAAAGATAATTCTATCCATAAAATCTAACGCTGTAGGCTGCGATAATATAAGTCGTACTATGATCATCTCAATACTAGATTCTGTACTTCCTGTTCTGTCTCATATCTTTAATTTTTCACTAACATCTGGTTCCTTTCCTGATCTCTGGCATAAGGCCTTAACTCTGCCACTACCTAAAAATAATAGTCCCGTTTCCCTTAGTCAATATAGGCCTATCTCTATTCTTCCATTTTTATCTAAGATCATTGAAGCAGCGTATCACAAACAACTCACTTCATACATTAATACTAATAAACTTCTTTGTCCTTTTCAATCTGGTTTTCGTCCCGGCCATAGTACTACTACTGCTCTCACCAAGATCCTTGAAGATGTCCGGGATGGCCAGGAAAATTCTCGTCTTACACTGTTAATTTTAATTGATTTTTCAAACGCTTTTAATGCTGTTGATCATGATATTCTCATAGCTGTTCTTTCTCGACTAGGGTTCTCATCCTCAGTGCAGAAGTGGTTCACTTCTTATCTTCGTGATCGCTGGCAGGCTGTTCGCTTCGATCAGGAGTTATCCAGTTGGCGCGAGCTGACTGCCGGTGTTCCACAAGGCGGTATTCTTTCTACTTCACTTTTTTCCCTTTTCATTAATACTCTTACAGAACTTCTTACTTCTTCTTACCATCTGTATGCTGATGATTTACAACTATATGCAAGCACTGATAGCATTCATTTGAATGAGGCTGTCGCAGATTTAAATCATAATCTCAGTGTGATCAGAGACTGGTCGGCTAATTTTGGTATCTCAGTCAATCCAAACAAGTGTCAAGCGATCGTTGTTGGCAGTTCACGTCTACTGTCGCAAATTGACTTTACTCAAGTTAATTCAATATTCTTTGACGGTGTTACTATTCCTTTCTCGGCTCAAGTAAAGGACTTGGGTTTGATGGTCGACGAAAAACTTTCCTGGATAGACCATGTCGATTTCGTCTCGCATAGGGTGACCAATTCTCTAAGATCTCTTTACAGGTTTAAGTTCTTTCTGCCCACTCGTACCAAGATTGTCCTTGTTCAATCTCTCATTCTGCCTATTATCGATTACGCCGACGTATGTTATCCTGATATAAATGAAAATCTTTTGAATAAGTTGGATCGACTTCTCAATAACTGCATCCGCTTCATATATGGCTTACGTAAATACGACCATATTTCACATTTTCGTCATCAGCTCAAGTGGCTTCCTATTCGTGAGCGTAGGAACCTCAGAGTTGTTTGTGCCCTTTTTAATCTTCTGTTCGATCCACATACACCAGTTTACCTAAAAAGCAGATTTAGGTTTCTGAGTGATTCTCATGACCGTGTTCTCCGTTCAACGGACAATCTCCTTCTGCATACTCCCGTCTATTCTTCTGGCTTCGTCTCCCACTCTTTCACTGTCACGGCTGTACGACTCTGGAATGACTTACCCCCCAATATACGTAAAGCTCCTAACAAAATTGCATTTAAGGGATTGGTTCGTGAGCACTATCTCAATAGCATTAAACAGCGTTCTCATATTTGACTGACAAAACCATGTATTTTTGTATGTATTGTATAATATGTGTGTGTGTATGTATGTGTGTATATGTATATATATATATGTGTGTGTGTATAATATGTATGTATTCTGTTAAGAGTATTTGTATCATTGGTTTATCTTAAATTTGTCTTTATTGCGCCCCGTCATATTAGATTTTTTCTCACGCTCTTACTGGTCGACTGGTAGAGAATGCCTTATGGCATTATGTCCGCCATTTGCTTTGTAATTTTGCAATAAAGTTTAAATAAATAAATAAGTAACTATGTATTCAAACAACTGCTCCAGTGATGGTTTATTAAAATTCTCTCAAGCCAAGTGTCAGTGAAGCAGCTGTTCAAACATGAAACTATTGCCTCAAGGTGATATTTGAAATGGAACAATTTATATCATCGATATTAAACATATCTCCCCTACAATTCTGTACCTATCTATATGTTGCTGTAAGATAGATAAAACCTTAAGGCGCTTTGCAGACGGCGGGGCGGGGCGGGCTTTTTGTCCGCGAAGCAATAAAAACCGCGTCTGCCCGTCGATGTCTGCGGCTGCCCTCGCCGCGTACACAAAGCACACAACGGGCAGAGGCAGTCAGTTCAGGACGTTCGTTCTAGTGAATAGTCCATCACTAAAAAGCGCGTGGCGCGGACTGAGCTAGCGGCCCCGCGCCGCCATCTGCGTTAATGCATATAAACTGGTTTGTATGATCCACGGCGGGCAGCCGCGGACATGCCGCGTCGCCAGTGTCTTTTTGCCCTCTGTGTGCGTTTGTAGTATAGGATTCACTTTGTGCTATCGTTCGCGGCGAAATTGACCGGCCCGCTCCGCCCCGACGCTGCGCCTAATATACTTATATCTCTAGGGATATATTTATTTATTTACTAATTTAGTACACACACAATAAAACAGATAAATAGAACAAGAACAAGAAATTTGTACAAGGGCACTGCTTATTTCATATTGAAATTTCTTCCAGCAGGCCCGCGATAGGAAAGAACATAAAAAAAAAGCCGTCAGTGTGATATATTTGGGATTGGGCCATGACCAACCACGCGGACCCAATGCGGATATGTGGGTGCTAACGACTGCAGATGCAGGCGGGACCAACGGCCTAACGTCCCTTTCGAAGCACCGAGGAGGTCGAGACAGTAAAGTTTTGGTCACCCATCCAATGAGCGACCACTGCGAAAGTTCCTTAACTACATAGATCGCAGCCGAACGCGTTAAGAGCCCTTTTACAAAATTGCGCCGCTACCGCACTGATCGGCGCGTAGGTAGATTTGCACTAGTATATATTGCATTTTACGGGTGATGTTTTGAGTCTTATAAAATAATTATTAATGAACTAATTATAAAAATATATACATATTTCAGTAGTTCAATGGTGGTAGATTAGTTTTATGAAAGTTTTTGATAGTAATTCTATTTAATTCAATATCAAAATACGAGGTAAACCTGCATTATTTTTAGGGAAAACTCACGGAGGTTAGATGTTTTTTTTTTGATAATTAATGATGTGGAAAATCAAAATTCTAATACATTATCTACTATATAAAAATAAGTCGGGTTTTCCTTCCTGACGCTATAACTCCAGAACGCACGAACCGATTTCCACGGTTTTGCATTCGTTGGAAAGGTCTCGGGCTCCGTGAGGTTTATAGCAAAGAAAATTCAGGAAAAATTAAAAAAAAATCGTTTTCTTTTAATCACAAAACGAAATGTTACATAAAACGAAGCTATCTGGTGGCGAAACGGAGTTCGCTGGGTTTGCTAGTGTTACAATAAAAACATATTTCTGATGTCTTAGTAATAGGGATGATGAATTTTTTTTTTCTTCGTTTATCAGATAGATTATTTATCAACAAGTATTGGACACGTATTTTTTCTTTTGCACATAATATAAACATTGCAGAGATATATTGATTTGAAAAGTCGCATAACGTCACGTTTTGGTATAATTTTCACTTAGAAGTGACGTCACAAGCCCCTACTCCCAAACTTTGACGCGCTATAACTTTGTCATTTTTTGGTTGATTGCCCAAAGAAAAAATACGTGTCCATTATTTTTTGATCATCTAACTGACAGACTAAATAGAATTTCGTTTACTGTACCCCGTCATCACCCCTTTTAATTTGATCTTATTTATTGAATATTATTGAGAGATTGAGGCGTTTGAAGTTGTGCATATTATCGTTTTTTCCGTGAACTAGCTGCAGTGGAACGATCAGTACAAAAGAAGGAAAACAGTATTTGCAGATATTCTACATTAACTAACAATAGGAAGAATAAATCTACTGTTTACTTCTATTGGAAATAGTCAAAATCTTTTCTCAGGGGGTAAACGAGGCGCTCAAAAATTATGATTTTTTGCAAAAATGTGAAAGGGCGCTTAATCACTTGCGCCATCGAGCTCCTCTACCCCTATTTATATCAAAATGGGTAAAAGATAGACTCACGGGTTGTTCCTGTAGAGTTCCCCATTCGTCGTTGTCCCACTCGTCTTCGCACAGCGCCGCTAGTGCGGGCGTTGCCTGCGCACTGCCACTGCTGGGAGGAGATTTCACGCTAGCGCCAGTACCTGCACGAATAGTACCCTTCAAATAAATTTACAGAGTTCCATCATCCTACTTATAGTAGAAATGTGAAAGTTTTGCGGCGGCGACATCTGCATGCCCCACATATAATCAACATGGAGGAAATAGTCACTCGCCTCCTCAAGAGATAACCCTACCGGCGTTGTGATCAATACCCTAAGGAAGCCTAAATCGCGCAAGAGAAATTCGGAGGCTAACACTCCATATATACAATGCCCGACCAACATCATTCGGGCCGCGGCTCCCGAGGTATCATCATCCAGCTCCAAGGAAGCTCTTCCCCTTTGGCCTTCCTACAGTTTGTATGTTTGTTACTCAATCATGCAAAAACTACTGAACGGATTGGGAAGAAATATGACTTGGATTGACACATAGGATACTATTTATACCGGAAAAATAATAGGTTCCTGTGGGATTCCGAAAAAACAAAAGTTGACGCGGAAGGAGACTCGGGCGGGCGATATGTAATAAATGTGAAATAAAAAGCAAAAACTAATCAACGGATTTGGATGAAATTCGGTGCACATATAGTTTATGACCTGGATTGAGACAATAATTTATTTCCCGGAAAAGTGTTACGTTACCGCCAAATTATCGTAAGCGACACTTTTGTCGAAATGCGTTTTTTGTGGAAACTAATATTTTAAACCGTAACGGACCCATCTCTGTTGATATTTCCCTCCAAAAGAACACCGTTATAATATAACGGAAGGAAGGTTGGAGGGAAATATCAACAGAGATGGGTCCGTTACGGTTTAAAATATTAGTTTCCACAAAAAACGCATTTCGACAAAAGTGTCGCTTACGATAATTTGGCGGTAACGGCTCGATTTGTAGCCTTGGTTTGAACAGTTTACTTTGGTTACTTTCATAGTGTTATGTCATATGGCCTTTTGTTGTGGGGCTCAGCCGCTAATATCGAAAGTATTTTCATACTGCAAAAGAGAGCTGTTCGCGCCATATACAATTTAAAGGCAAGAGAATCCCTTAGAGAAAAATTTAAAGAAATTAATATTTTAACACTGGCGTCGCAATACATTTATGAAAATTTCATATATGTAAGAAAAAACTAGGATGAATTTGCAAAAAAAAGTCAAACCCATAACTTTAACACGAGATTTAAGAACAAGCTTGCCGTTCCATCTTTCAGACTCCAAAAATCAAGAGGTTCATTTCTGGGTTGTAGTATTGCATTGTTTAACAAAGTTCCCCAAGATCTGATTGAGCTTCCACTGACTAAATTTAAATCTCAGATCAAAAATACTCTTATGAATAAGGGCTATTATAAAGTTGATGATTATCTAAATGATCGTAATGCATGGACATACTGTTTCTTATAATTTGATATTAAATGGGTATTAGTCATTTTTCATAACAGTAATATTGTACCTATCTAATGCCGCTTCCTATATACTACATATAATGTTAACTATAAAATTAATTGTAACTATATATTTATATTCTAGATGATGTAATGGAAAGTGACTTCAGACGTATTTCTGAAGTAATTTTTCAACTTGACGACACTGTATATAACAATACAGGGAGAAAAAAACAGCCCTTGCTGAGTTTCTTGCCGGTTCTTCTCAGTACAAGGTCTCCCGCCGTAGTTTTGCGAACCGATGGCGTAGCTTCTTGACCTTCACAAGTGCTTGTAACAGCCTAGACTGAATAAATGACATTTCATTTCATATAATTTTTTACCGCCTGTTGACTGATTGGTACGACGCATAACGGTTTCAATAACAAAAAAGGTATTGCTAAACATGGCGAATTTAACCAAATAGCCCCACGGCTGATGATTCTGCTGTGCTGCAGTTGGACACGGACTCGCTGTATTCCAACGACGTCATAGCAGTGAATATAGTTACAAGTAATTTAATTAAACTGACCAGCGCTCGAGTCGATCTCGCCACAGGCAGCCATGTCCCAGTGTTCGGGGTCGTTGTCGGACACCGACTCGCTGTGTTCCAATCCAACGATGTAATCGTGGTAAATATAGTCACAAGTCATATAATTAAACTGACCAGCGCTCGAGTCGATCTCACCCCAAGCGGCCATGTCCCAGTGCTCGGGGTCGTAGTCGGACACGGACTCGCTGTGTTCCAAAGACGTCATCGAAGTCACCGACGATGTCGTCGTGGACATACTGCTCGACGAAGGTTGTTCTAGAATAAAAACACGGATTATTTACAAATAAAAACAAATTAATTAATGTAGTTTCACACAACTCAATAATACTTAGTATTAAATGACCAAATAGCAAGATTAATAATAAAACTAGTTTTTACGGGTTAATGCACGAAACTTTATTTATTTATTGACATGTCGCAGCCTTTTCAGGTCTGCATCGTCAGAATAATGATTTTTTATTTATAAAAATAAATAAAAAATCAAAATAATGATCAGAATAATGATTTTTTATTTATAAAAATAAAAAATCATTATTCTGACGATGCAGACCTGAAAAGGCTGCGAAACGTCAATAAATAAATAAAGTTTCGTGCATTAACCCGTAAAAACTAGTTTTATTTAATGAGTGATGTGCGTGAAAACCTAAGAAACAAATAAGATTAATAATGATTGTGTCAGAGCATAGACATATAGAGAATGGACTGAGTATTCCTTAGTCAACTGTCAGAAGAATTAAAACTCGAACTATGGGCCGCTCGATCGCTTTGTCTCTTTCACTTTCTGCGCATTGATCGCATGATTGTATTTTCTCCCTTTCTAGAGAGTAATTGGTAAGTAAAAAGGGGACTTCTGGGCTTTCTGGAGGAGCTGGGATGGCAGGACTATAGAATATCAAATTGTTCCTCAAGCAAAATAGACACATGATGTCGATTCACGGAAACAGCCCGCCGTACTACTAAGAGAGTAATCAATTGCATGCAAGTATCTACGACTATTAGTAAGAGCCACTCGCCCAATAATCCCGGCTTGGACAGCGCTGACTTGGTGGAGTACTGAACTCGCGAAGTGTCTGAATGCGAGCGGTAGAACTTGGCCGTGACCGCGGTGACCGCCCAGCCGCGTTGCTAATCGACGGAGCCACTCACCCAATGATCCCAGCTTGGACAACTTCCGACTTGGTGGAGTGCTGCACTTGCGAAGTCTCGGGACGCGAGCGGCAGAACTTGGCCGTGACCGCGGTGACCGCCCAGCCGCGTTGCTAAGCGACGGAGCCACTCACCCAATGATCCCGGCTTGGACAACGCCGACTTGGTGGAATGCTGCACTCTCGAAGTGTCTGAATGTGAGCGGTAGAACTTGGTCGTGACCGCGAGGACCGCTCAGGCGCGTTGCTAATCGATGGAGCCACTCACCCAATGATCCGGGCTTGGACAACGCAGACTTGGTGGGGTGCTGCACTTGCGAAGTGTCTGAACGCGAGCGGTAGAACTTGGCCGTGACCGCGGTGACCGCCCAGCTGCGTTGCTAAGCGACGGAGCCACTCACCCAATGATCCCGGCTTGGACAGAGCTGATTTGGTGGAGTGCTGCACTCGCGAAGTGTCTGAATGCGAGCGGTAGAACTTGGCCGTCACTGCGGTGACCGCCCAGCCGGCCCACGTGGCCGCCGCGTTGCTAAGTGACGGGGTAGCGGTGTGGACATCAGCCTCTATATACACAAAAAGGATGGATAGAGAGTAGCACCATGGTAAATCACGCGAGCTTAGCGCGTACCATCAATATCATCACCAGCCTATTAAACTCGCCAGATACACAGAGCTTCGCGAGCCCAGTACCTATAAACGGATGCTAACGACGGTAAATGCAATTTATAAATCACAAACAACATTCATCGTAAAAAAAATTAAGAGGTAGGGCACAGCGGATTTGCAGTGCTTGTCTGGAGAGACTCATAGGCAATGACGCTCTCGTTGAGGCTAATCGCCAGAGCCTTGGACACCGAAGACGTGTAGCTTGGCTCTCGGTGTTTCATCGGTTACATTTCGGAGAGTGTGCGGTGGTATTACATAATTTGATCCCCCCTTCCCCTTTCCAGCACCGGGCGACCAGGCGCGGCGAGGGCTTTCACCTTTATGTTGTCAAAATTCCTCTCATTCGCACGAAGCGATTTGCTTCGGCCTTCATTATGCGAACGGCTAGGGAGTGGAACTCCTTGCCGAGGTCTGTTTTCCCGGACCAATATAATCTGAATATCTTCACGGCCAGAGTGAACAGGCATCTTCTAGGCAGGCGTGTACCATCCTAGGCCTCATCATCGCTTTCCATCAGGCGAGATTGTGGTCAAACGCATTGCCTATTATGCATAAAAAAAAACAGGCCGGCAAAGTGAGGGTGACTGGAGCGGCACACTTGCAGTCGCGTCTTCAATCTTTGCAACTGAACTCCACTTGGGGTTATATATAGCTCCGCATATAAAAAAATCAATGCTATAATAACAAGACTAATAAACAACATAATAATTCCTCACCCATTCCTTCCTTTAAGCTGGGGTCCTCTGAGACCTTCTCTAATTTGCCAAGAAAACCTTTTATAGTTCTAAAAGCTGCGTCACGAACCTGCAAATAAATGAGGTCATTGCACTCATTGTTTTAACAGAAAGAGGAGTCATTGACCTTTTTAAAAACATTCATGATAAAGATTGCGGTCATTTAATTTATCAACGGTTGCCATAATATGGGTCAAATTAATTATAGATATGACTTTAAAAGAAGGGCGCTAACATTACATTGAGTTGAAGACAGAAATCTAAATACTGTCTGCTGCCTGGTCCACGTGGAATTTTTCTAGTAAACTTTTCTTTAGATTTAAACATCTAGCAGTTAAATGCTTAAAAAATAAAAACATAACTAATAAGAAAGGTTAAAAAAAAAATTTTGATACACAACATTTAATGTTTACTTTATTGCGGGTTTTTAATTATGCAAGTAATGCAGAGAGCCAAAGATTAAATTGGAAGTTAAATCTGTTTTTACGTTCTAGGGAGTATGTCAGTAATAGATACCTACGTGAAAACATGTGACATGTATCATAAGCGAGGCATTCGTGCTAGGGAAGGGTAGAATCAGGCTCTTTAAATGCAAATAAATTTCTGTTGTCATTTCACAAGCAAGGCATGTGACAATAGGGCCATTAGTAGACTGACAATAATCATGATAAATAACTATTTTTGATTATTTTAGGAACGTACCTGCTTTTCCGGATCTGCTGTAAGGGGGCATAGCGCTGGCAAAACCCTGTTTGCGACTTCTACCAGCAAGAAGTACTGTTGAGTAGCCGCTAATGCTAAAACACCAGCTTGCCGCGCAGGCGGGAATGGGTCTCGAGTGGCGCGAACGAATGCTGACACTAAAACTTTCTGCCGGATTTGAGGATGCAAATGTGCTGCTATCTTGCCTAAGCATACTGTCGTGTTCGTCCTGCCACGTAAAACAAGCATTTCAATGATCATTTTTATTTTATTTATTTATTTCATTTGCACAAAGATGAAGAACTGAAGTACAAAATATAGATATAGAAGATATGCAAAGGTTTACAACACTCATTCCTTTAAGAGGCTGATGTCTGATTTAGGAAAACCTGAGCTACAGATCACCAAGCTCCCACGTTTGGAACAAAAACTTGTCACGAATTTACTTTCGTGAAGTTTTGTTTTTTGCTTTACTTCAAAATATACCAAAGCCTTCCATACTTAGTAAATTACCAAAGTACTTATATGTATATGAATTCGTGAGTGTGAGTGTGTAAGTGTATTTGTAAGTAGATACGTGTTAGTGTGGTGTATGTACAAGTTAGTAAAGCCCAATTTTATTTATTTATATTGTTGTTTATCTAAGAGATAATTAAGTGTAAGCTTTAAGCATTTATCATCATCTATTCAAAAGAAAAAGTACCTTATGCCGCCTTGGTCGTCTTTAGATTGCAATCTTGCGAAATGCTTCAAGACTTCTACGTTCAGATTGTTGTAGTTCAGTTTTGAAGCTAGATGCACTATCGATTTGACAGTTTGCTCCCTGATGATAGGATTCGTGTCAAGGAAACCATTGACCACTTGTGGAAATATTTGGTCATTTACCTTGAAATATGAAGGGTGCATTATATTAATAAATTAAATGATATTAACACATTAATAAAGCATCATCATCACTCACTGTTGCATTTTGCAGATGCATAATAAATTGATCGAGTTGTTGCAAAAGTCGCGATCTCGTAGTGCGATCATTGGAGGCAAAAAGTTTCACAACACATGGAACTATTTGTTTCTGATAATCTGATTCATCTAATAGTTTGCCTAACTGAAACAGGAAATGTATTTAATTAGCTATATAAATAAGTTGAGAACATTACTTTTATTTGGTTTTAGGCAATTATATTAAGAGTATCCATAAAGTACGTCACACGGTACCCCTAACGTGGAGGGAGAGGGTCAAGGAAATGTGACATTGTGTGTCAAGACGTGGGAGGGGTCCAAGTTTCTTGATGTCACATTTCAGTACCTAATATGGGTTTTTAATATATTTTGTTTGTTCGGAACTAATTTCAGAACTGCTGTTTTATTTTTGATGCAAAATAGCAAAATATATGACGTCACACGAGGGAGGGGGCACTCACAAATGTGACAAACTGTAACAAGGATGGGGAAGCAGTAAAAAGATCACAAAATTAGTATGACATACTTTATAGATGACCACTAGTAATGAAAAAAATTGGTACAAAGCAATGTTATTTAAATGCATGTAAAACCTTAAACATAGGTGGGAGGACAGCTGATCCTGCATCTCCATAATGAAAAGCTGTGAGTAGCTGTGGCAAGATTTTATGTACACAAACAGCCTCAGGAAAATTATCTAAATATCCAGTCAGAGTAGAGAAATATTTCCCTTTTTCAACTTTATCTTTAATCTGTATTTCTTCTAGGAACAACATTGAATCAATCAAATCATTTTTGAAGTAACCACCCAATTTGCGACATCTGAAATGACAAACATGTTAATAAAATAAAAGCTCATCACAATAGTTTTAATTGAACCTGGTTACATTGTCATGAAGACCGTTATGCAATAACTCAGGTAGAGTTGTAAAAAAAAACTATTTTGATAAAAAAATAATAGCTTGTATTTTTTGACCTTAATTAAAGACTGTTTAGTCAATGAGAAAGAACATATAAAGGCGTTTTCAGAAATAATAAGTTTGTTTAGTATGTTTCTGTTAATTAAATAGGGTGTAGGGTACAGATATTAACACTGTAAATATTATTGCTGGACTTGAGTCATTTAGTCAGGATCATATCCAAGGTTTGAATATTTTTACAAGTACAGTGTGACTATCAATAGGGTAAATGACAAATTTTAGAAAATGATCTCTCCTTCTTTACTAATGTTTATAGAGTCCATAAAAAGTAATATTAGAATATTCATCATTCTCTTGTGTATTTCAGTAAAAAAACTAAATCCAAAATTCCATTTTTAAGTTGGCATTAAAACGTTTCTGTGGACATTTTATTGTCTCACTAATATGTGATGTCATACAACTGCCATCAAAATGTCAAACGACACAATGTAATGTTACATTGACATGTTTTAGCGTGTGACGTCATTATAGTCTTTGCCAATCCCAAGTGTTGTCTATCTAGTAAACATAGCACAAAGATATCATATTTATTTAATGATCTTTTACAAAAATTATTGATTATTTGTTCTCTCAGAATAGTAAAATCGCTGCCAATACTCATATTAAATACAGATGCCAACAATTAGTAATTTATTTTTCATACTGTCAAATAGCCTATTGAGTAAGTTACTGTAATATTTCAATCTTGAACTTATTTCTAATGATTTTTGTTCTACATAATATGTCAACATACCTAGCTATAATATCAGCTGGGTTGGGTCTAGAAGCTGGATTTGCACTAACTAATTCACAATACAGTGTGCACAGTTGCTTGGGTATGTGATCTACGGTCTTTAATGCTGGTTGGTTCTTTAATGGACCATTGAATGCTTCCCATATGAGGCAGCCCAAGCCCCACATATCTGTCGAACTGAAATATTCGAAAATACTTTCATAAAAATATCCATACTATTTTTATATTTCCTTTTATTAATAAATTTAGTAAAGTGCCACTTACGCTAACATACTTAAAAAAAACTTTAATCTTGTTTTAACCACCTCATTTCATTTCATTGTTTGTAATCAAATATATATAAGAATTTTGGTGTAAGTGAATCTGATTATTATTATTAGGCATTTATTATTATTTTTTATTAAAATAATTTTAATGCACGAAAACATTCAAGTTTTCTATGATTAAATTTTATCAATAAATGCCTTATTAACTCAAAATTTTTATCAGAAATACAAAGATCTTCTTATATACCAAGCAACTTTAATACTGGTAAATAATACATAATGTCATGGTTCATTACAAACTTACCATTTCGTAACAGCTTTCAATTTGCTGGTATCTTTTTTCTCTGGAGGGTCATAAATTTCAAGAGCAGGTAATATCTTGATGGGTAAAGGGTTAGAGGAGTCCTGACTCTGGGCAGTGAGGAACTCAAACCCACCAAGCTTCCACTCACCAGCTAGTGTCACAAAAACTGAGTATAGGCAAACATTGTTGTGCTTCATGTTGCCATCATTATTCAAAAATGACAATGCTCTCTGCAAAAGAAATAACTTGCCATATCAAAGTTAATTTCAGCAAATAAACAATGAAACATTTTATCCATTTAGTCTTATTTAGGAATCTTTTTTTTCCACTTTTGAGTCTACCTGGGCCGAAAGTAAAAATATCTGTTTGTTAAGCAATTCTGGTAGTTTCACAAGTCTTAATTGAGACATATTGTTGATATCTGTGACTAAACATAGTTGATAGTTAAACGTACATTAGGCTTGATTCTCTAACCTAAAACTAAATTTAACAATAGTCTCTCCTTTTCATTCTGTAAAAAGCATGACAACAGTACACTGTGAATCATGCGTAAACTGGGCCTATTTCTTATTTTAAAATGAGAAACCAAAGTTATATTTGCTGATACTTTTGTATTGTATAATTTTGTGTTAAAGCTATATTTATGTGTTGTTACAATAATCTTAAACAAGGTTATTGCACAATATTAATTATTTGTAAAAGCTTATTTGTTCATAGATACTAAAAACTCTTATAATTCAACCATGCATGTGACAGAAATTTCATATATAATATGAAATTCATCATAGTACTTGTATATTGACTATAGTCCCACTCTGGGGCTCAATAGAGCATAACACTTTAAAAATAATAATAATTGAACTTTGATTGCACAAAAAGATACACATTTCATTTGCATTGCAAGATATCCATTTCTTGGAGGGAATTTGAAAATTTAAGTTCTCTCTATGAAATGGGTAACTTTTTGTTGTGTTGGCTATCTTAAAGAATGGTATATCTTGGTAAACCGATCCCCAATTTGCCTTATAACAATATACTACTGTCTTCAATATATCTAAAAGAAAGGTTTACTTAAAAACAATAAATTTTAAAAGAACTTAATTGTGCTTAAAATTATACCCTTAAAATGAAAAATAGAAAAAGAACTGTTATACTTAATAACAATAATTGAAACCCTGAATCACTATATATCTCTAAAGAACATTATTCCTAATATTTATAGCCCAAATGCACGCTATCCCTAATTACTTTAGACCTATAACATAACTAATTAATAACTTTGAGGCGAGCTAAACTGTACTTCCAGGGCCCAAGTGGTGATACTTCACACTAGGTTAGGTTAGTGTTGTGACTGACCATAACCAGAAAAATAATACCAATTCTAAAGTTATAAGGGATAGCATGCATTCGGGCTTCAAATATTAGGAATAATGTTCTTTAGAAATATAGTGATTCAGGGTTTCAATTATTGGTATTAAGTATAACAGTTAGAAAAAAGTCAGTTGAAAGACAAGAAGTTGAAAATAAACAAATGAAAAATTAGATTTAAACATCAAGCAGTTACATGCTTTAAAAATAATAAAAATTATAAATGAAAAAGCTAAATTTTATGGCAACTTGATCTTCTTCTTCTAACTTTAAAGGATTTCAATCTGATTAGTAGAAATTAAAAATAATATTAAAACACAAATTTTTTACTTACTGTGATTTGGAAAATTCCCCATGCAAGGAAAAGTTCCTTTTGTTGTCCCTCCAATTTCATATCTTCAATATGAGTTACTAGGGGTTCTACATATTCAGTAGCTACATATAAACATTTTTCAGTTTCACAACTATCTAAGTAATGTAAAAGGCTAGGGTGTCTCATAGTCTTTAGTTTCTTCAGAGCGGCCTTTGCTATGTCAAATAAGGTTTCTGAATTCTTTTGAACATCAAACAAAAAAATTGATACTTCATCCTGAGTGCCTCTTTTCTTTCCCTTATGCAAAGACCAAACGGATCTATCTTCTAAGCCACGAACTGGATCCCCTACTTCAAATGGAAAATCTTTTGTTGGGTCTCGGGAGAAAAAGGACCACATATTGCACAGATTCAAATATCTCGATTGCACAAAAACTGCATAATTTTGCAAAAAAATTACATTTATTAGATGTTATGGAATAGTGTTAGAAAATATGAACATAATATCCTTTCTAAATCTGAAATTAATGTAAAAAAAAATAACTAGGAGTGTTTCTAAAAATCACTTGATCGCAAAAATTTTCTGGGATGTAGTACAGACAAGACAACGATGGTGATGTCAAGTCAAATTGACATTATTTTTAAGATTCTCCCTTTTCAGGGAAGGCAAAGGAAACAAAACCCATACAGCCAGTCTTTAATTTTATTAATCTTCGTTTTTTTCTTTTTAAATACATCAGTCGGGCCGCGGCCCCCGAGCTACCATCACCCAGCTCGGAGGAAGATCTTCCCCTTTGGCCTTCCAACACTGGTGACCCTCGACTGAGCACAGCAGCAGCAAGAAGCAACCTTCAATCATCGCAGCGTAGCCATCAATCCTCATACCCCTTCCTCATCAGGTCAAGCAACATCAGCAGTCACACAGCAAGCTAGCATCAGCCTCAAGGTTCCATCGCAGCTCTCAACAACGCTTCCTGGACCTTCGGCAGCACTCGACGGCATCATCTCGACCTGGTCTCCGCAGCCCACGACCGGTACCTCACTTGTCGGCCGCAAGCACACCGGCGTGGCAGCCCTGCACACCAGTAGCTCGGACCCACCGTCACACTCCACCTGTCTCGACTCACCGTAGACTGGAGCAACTCTGCAGCACTGGCGACGCGCCTTCACCCCACCCGTCTCGACTCACCGCAGACTGGGGCATCCTGCAGCACACTGGCACTTGCAAGCTCGACTGACGCACTGACTGCTGAAAAATATTGACCATCGACCTCCGGTCTCGGAGGGGAGTGATGTGGCGGCGACATCTATATGCCCCACATATATACAACGGATGTAGGAAATCATTACTCACCATCCTCAAGAGATGGCGTTACCTGCACTGCGATCAATATTAGAATGGAAGCCTACATCGCGCAAATGAAATTCGGAGGCTAACTCTACATATATACGATGCCCGACCAACATCAGTCGGATCGCGGCCCCCGAGCTACCATCATCCAGCTCGGAGGAAGATCTTCTCCTTTGGCCTTCCAACATATGAACTATTCCAATCATTCCAACAGGTTTTCTGTATTAAATACATCATGATTGTATTGACGTTGTAACAACATAATGATTTGTAAATGTTGTTACATTATACTTTTAATGTTGTGGAGCTTATTTCGCTCGTTTTTCTCCGCAGCTAAAAAATATGTCCAATAACGAGTGGCAGGGAAAAAAAATTTGGACGATTCAAAAGAGTTCTACTATACATCCAATTTGAATAAAGATATATTGATTTCTGAACGCTGTCGAGACATCGCGACACACAATTTTCTAACCGTACTAAATGTATGAAGCAGATCGCGTCACAACACAACACCTAAGATAAATATATTTTTGCAGGTCTAAAAATCGTCCCTTTTCAGATTCCGAATCGTCCGAAATACGACGCAGGTACTGGCAACACTGGTTGGAACACTCAACGCTAAGCATTATGCCGCATAATGCGCTATAATGCTGTAATTGGAAAGCAACCTCGGTTATGTGGACATGAGAATTTTATTGTAGTATTGACTACCTCACAGAATCTTATCGAGATAGCTGACTCGATGCATTTCGTGCCAAACTCTCCAAGAAACATTAGGATTAGTCACACCAATATTGGGCATTGTTCCCTAAAAAGGGAGAACGTTAAAAAAAAAGCAATCATCTGCAATCCTCTCTCCTTGTCTTGCCTTCCCATAAAAAGGTAGAATATTAAAAAAAACACCCCTCCCCCTTCCACTCACCGATCGGCTTTGAGGAGGTTATATTTATTTATTTTTCTTGCTAATCTCTGATTTCAGCTAAATATGTCTAAATCAGTCGCTCGGTTAAAGTCTATGAAGAAAGTGGCTGAAAAAATAGATCATAGCTCAAAGTTAAGAACTAATATTCCAGCTGGTATGGCTGCTGCTGGCCCTCCTTTAGGCCCTATGCTCGGACAGGTAATATTTGAAAGCAATAACCTTAGTTTGTATGTAGCATCTCAATATAAAATACTTATTACTTCCATCCAATTTATCACTATCATCTACACATTGATAGAAAAGTGTGACCTGTCTCTTGCTTTATCATAATTTACAACATGTTTTTATAATCTTACGGTTTGATCTTTCAGAGGAACATAAATATAGCAGCATTTTGTAAAGATTTCAATGAACGTACAGCCAATATCAAACCAGGGATACCACTACCAACTAGAGTGAAAGTAAATTCTGATCGCTCATATGAACTTGTTATTCATCAACCACCAGCTTCTTATTTCCTAATGCAGGCTGCTGGTGTTAATAGAGGTGCTATGGAACCTGGTAAGCATATTTTTACTTCAGTAATAAATAACATATATTTTTACAACTTCACTAATGTGGTATCTGTATTTTGTTTGTATATTGTTACATTATCTATCTAAAATAATTATTAAAATTTTATTTGACTATTATTTGCATGACAATTATTCAGCAACCAATAAACTGTGCAAGATATAAAAAATATAAAGACTTTATTCTAATTGGAAATACCACTTTTTCAGTCTAAATTCAGACTTTTTATAATAGGGATGATGACTAAATTTTTTTTTCTTCGTTTATCAGGTAGATTATCAAAAAGTATTGGACGCGCTTTTTTCACATAATATGAACATTGCAGAGATATATTGATTTGAAAAGTCGCATGACGTCATGTTTGTGTACACTTATAAGTGAAAATTCACTCAAAAGTGAAGTCACAAGCCCCTACTCCCAAACTTTGACTATGCGCTATAACTATGTCATTTTTTGGTTGATTGTCCAAAGAAAAAATATGTGTCCATTATTTTTTGATCATCTAACTGACGAACTAAATAGAATTTCGTTTACTGTACCCCGTCATCACCCCTATTATTGGTATTGATTTAGCTTATTTATTTATAATATCTTACATTTTCAGTTAAAGAGATATGTGGAAAGATAACACTGAAGCACTTATATGAAATAGCTAAAATCAAATCGCAAGATCCAACACTTGAATGGAAGCCTTTGAAGGAAATATGTGTAATGCTTTTAGCAACTGCAAGGACATGTGGAATACAAGTAGTCAAGGAGTTGGATGCCAAGGTGAATAGATTATTTTATCCAAATGGCCTCAGGGATTTATTAATTTTGTATTTTATTTTATTATCTTAATATTTTGACCTTACAGGAATATGCTGAATTTTTGGAGGAAAGAAAAACAACAGTAGAAGAACAAAAGAAACTGTTACAAGAAAAACGAGAAGCAAAGATGCTAAGGACAGCGTAGTGCTGATTTTGTACTAGGTTGATTATTAATATAGAATAGGTTTAGTAACTAGTGTTGTTGATATAAAATACTGATATTTTGTTATTGTGTAAATGAAGTAAAAAACTTCATAATTTTCATATTTTATTTCAAAAATATTCATTACAACCATTAGTTTCTTTTATACTAATGTGGCAATCATTATGGCACCTAGTCACATAACTAGTGCTAAAACCAAGTACACTATTCTAAGAAAATGAGTTGAACCAAGCTAAATTTGATAAAAAATAAGTGAATACTTTGTCTTTACCTAGAAAACTAATTTGTGATTTTGTCAAGTTTTTTCTACATGGACCAGTCTGCTTATGTTTTTGGATAATACCTAGAAAATGCAACTACAAAGCTAAACAATGAGGAATTGTGTTTCATAGGAATTTGAACTCTACAATAATATATTATTTTCAGCATAGTGAAGATCAACAATACAATCTACTTATATCAATATCACATTGAACAGTCTTGAGAAAAACTACAGAATAAAAAAAATAAGGAAAGCCTCCCACAATACTTTCTAAGAATACAATAATATTTTCTTATTTACATACATAGATGTGAGTAATAAAAATATGACATATCACCTAACACATTCATAAAATAGGTATTTTGAATCTCATATAAAAATACTTTACATATTCATAACTCTCATTTTTAACTCATCACTTACTTGTTTGCAATCACTTAAAGTTGCAATTCTGTCAAAATATGTAGTAGTGTTTATGCAGTTAGAAGTAAAAATAATAATTCCAACTTTGTACAAGCAAAAAGAGATTCATTTGTTTAGTATTTACAATAAGTAAATAAAATCTCTAATCAATTATTATGAAGTATAAAAAATTAATTATGGATAACCTGTGGTGTACTTAACTGATAAAATATTTATGTTCATATATTAAACAAGTCAAAGTGGTAACTAATTAATAAGTGGCACATTTACCTATAGTTAGGTATAACATAAACTGATCCCATGAAATGTACTAAATACTGATAATAAGAAGATCATATATTTCTTTTTAATAACAATTAAAAACAAGTTTATTATACCTAAGTATTGATGTCGATTCTGGCATGATTCTCTAAAGCTAAACTTAAATTTGACAACAGTGCATCCTTGTCCTTCTCTATACAGAATGAAAAGGTGAGACTGACCTTAAATTAAGTTTTAAGTTTAGAGAATCACGCCAGAATTGACACCATTATGTAAATAAATCTTAAATTACTCTAAGGTAATGCTGTAATCAAAATAAAGTTTCAGATCCAGACTAATCGAGACTGTCCAACTTAACATAAAGTTTAACAATTATCAACAAACTTTAGCAACCGATCGCTTTAGCTTAGGAGAGTTTGGTAACACCTCTGGCAGCTCTGTTACTTTTTCAATTGTAAAGTCTGGTAGGTCGGATGATTCTTCGTCTTTCTGCAGTGGAATCCACACTGTGCCTCCTAGTTCTGCCTCCTTGCCACCCTGGAATAATATTATTAGAGGTCGCATCTTCATTTATGTTATGGCTCAATTACACTAGGTCGTTAGCCCGAATACGATGGCCAAAAGAATTCGGGTAAACGACTAAGTGTAAATGAACGGAGTCGAGAACGCCCGTTTTCGGGTAGTTTTCGTTTTGGTTACCCTACACAGACTTCCAGCTCGTACTGCAGTGTCAATATTGCTTCGGATGCCTAAATTCGAGTAATAAAGGGTTTTCTGGAATGACGGGCACCAGATGGCAGTACTGAGACGAAGGTTTACTCATCCGTCAAAACGCATATGTTCTTTTAAGTCTATGGATCCATTTACTCACGTCACTGTGGCGCCAGCTGGTGTCGTAAATTTTCATAAACACCCTCATTGAGCCATTAGACAAAAAATAAAACAGGAAGATAACTAGAACATGAATGCTATGTTTGTAATTAATAGTAAAGAACACAATTCGATGCAGCGTACTATCGATTTGGTGTACTGTCGATGTAGCGTACCATCAATTTAGTGTACTGTCAATTCATTATCTTCGATAAAGCGTTTTCGATACAGCGACAGTCGATGCAGTGACTGATATACTGACTGACTCAACAACAAGCTAAATTACGACTCTAAGGGGATTGGTGATGTTGTATTACGTGGTGTTTTATAGGATACAAAACAATGGGACAGGTGATTATATGAGCCATTGTGTATCGAAAATAAAACGCATTTCCAATATAGGTAAGTAAATCCGGCAAGTAATTAATAAAGATAATTGAAGATATTGATAAAGTACTAATTGACTTACGTGGACTTACGTTCAAGTTAAATAAAATATTTTAATTTAACTTAAGATGTTAACAACATAAAAACGGAAAGGAAATTTTAAGAAAATCTTTTTTAACCATTCAAATGTAATTCTTCATGCCATTTCACCAGCTGTTCCATTGTTTTATACACCTGTCAACGATATTAATTAGGTATGCTAGTTACACCAACACGAACAAAATCATACCCGAATCCTGTCCAAAAGGTACATTGGACGATCCACGGAGCTTCGTAAGATGATTGTGTTGTCAAAAATAATATAAGGCATTATTTAAACATTGAAAGTCACCTTTAATGCATACTATATAAGGTCTTAATTAAAGCGCATGCGTCAGAGTTATGACAGTTCGAAATGCAAGCTCGTTAAATTTTACGACCTTTTACTATATGCGGAAGAATATAGAACTTATTTCTTTGAATCTACGCGCAATTCTGAATGCGCTGTTAGCAATATAGCAGGTACGGACCGCGAGGAAAAGAGACGGCTATATATGCATTTGAATATCACAAATATTTTCTATTAAATTAGTTTATAGTAAGTATTAGAACAAAATTTGCTTCAAATGCGTTAAATTTATTTATTAGCCACGCCAACAGCATACACATAAAAAAACAAATACAAAATTCTCAAAAATAGTACCTGATGTGTACCCCATTAAAGGCATGTAGGTACAACGTTTTTAATTGTCTTAATCAACGTCAACAATTACAATCATATAGCAAAAGAACAAATTTATAATTAAAATCAAAATTTCTAATTTTGATTTTGATTTGAAAAGAATACAGTCAAGCGAAATCAAATTTAGTCAAAATAAACATTGGGTACAATTAAAATTAATTTATTTGGCGAGCGATTTCAACACTCCAGAAATAAAAGAGCAAGGAGTTGTGCATGATGTCGAGGTCGCCCGAAATACCATTTAATATGTTGTACTCGTTACACATTCTAACTATTGGAGAGGACAGACCAATATTAGTGCGACAGCGTGTAGTATAAAATTGTCTGGTGATAGGAAATCGCGGGACAGCGTGTGGCACATTAAGTGCAATGCGTGATAAAAGATCTTCGCAAGTGAGACCGTTGTTTACAACTTTATATAAGAATATCATGTCGTGAAGTTTACGACGGTCTCGCAGGGTATACACATTACATTTTAAAAATTCAAACGCTGATCGTAACAGGATCTATGAGAAATGCCTTGAGAAAAGAATGCCAAGTGTCTTGTAAAAGAACGTTGTATACTTTGAACTCGCTGAGAATGCACTGCATAAAATGGAGACCACACCAAACTAGCATATTTAAGATGGCTCCGGACTAGCGCATTATACAAAACAATTTTAGTCGAAACCAGTTTAAATATCTTTGTGTTGCGTTTCAAAAATCCTAACATACGTGCTGCTTTAGTAACTACTGCATCGATATGTGCCCCAAAGCGCAATCCATGATTACACCAAGATCCTTCATCACCCTAACCGTCCGTAAAAGATTTCTGCTAATGTCAAGATGACTGTAATGACTTCTTCTTTCTTGAAAACTTTATATTAACAAACAAGGATTAGAAACCTGTCGAAAAAACGACACTTTACATACTAAAAGTGTTTTTTTGCATTATTTCACGGAGCTCTGCGATACGTCGACTTTTCGACGGTCTGCGCGTGACTATGAACCAAGAAGTGCTTGAGTGGAGTTCAAGCACTTCTTGACTGGGACACATTTTGAGCGGAGGTGGTGTATTTATTAATATCGTTGACACCTGTATATTTTTTAATTCAGATTATTTTTTGTGTAATTACGTTTTAAATAATATGCAATAATAATTACTTTGATATCTGTTTCCAGTTTGTCTCCAACCATGATACAAGTTCTAGGTTCTACGCTCAGCATCTTGCAAGCCTCCAAAAAGATCTCTTGGTCCGGTTTCTCCCAAGGCAGGTCTCCGGAGACGAGCACGCAGTCGAAGTACTTGCGGAGGCCCAGTCGTTCGATCTTCTGCCACTGGGCTCGCGAGGGCCCGTTCGTGATCAGACCGAGAAGGTAATCCTCCCTGTACCACATTCATCGACCAGCCTTTCGTTATTTTCAGCTCCGAGTAATGCTGTAACTCAGCACACAAGTAACTCGAGGCAAATGACCTTGCACACGGAAGGGAAAATTTGACGCCACTAGCATTTTTTGTACCTATATTATTATCAGCAGGGATTACTTAAAAGATAGTTATTTAACTTATATATATGTATAAACATGCAAGATCATTTGGTTTCCTGTATTGATGTCATGAATGATGGGTTAGAAAAATATTCATATGCAATTCGTAGAAACAAAATTGTATCCCTAAAAATTGCATATAAATTAATCTTAAAACTAGTAAAGTGTTTAGCTGAGTTTGTGATTTTTTTTGTAAATACAGTAGACTCCCAATATGATTTTACTGTTTCTTTTATTAAAAGTTAGAGGCCAACATAACACTTCATTTTTTTAGCATTGACTTACTGAAACAATGGAGATATTTTCATTGCTTCGCAATTTGCTTTTACAATTAGAAATAATTTAAAAGCACATGGGTCTTATTTGATAATTAATAAAAGAAAAGTATCTCCATAGTTATTTTTAAATTTTTGAGGTAATGGTTTACCTTCTCCATGATGTACTCCCTCACACATTTTACAAATACAATTCAAACCTAAGTGTTGCGCACGCGGCGCCCCGAGTTTAGTCACTCGATGAGCAACAACTGAACTGTTGAAAAACAAGTAATTTATTAGCAACATGCGTTCAAAGTCAGATCAACTGAACTGCGAAAGCATTTCGAGCAACAGTAAGTATTGCATTATATTCATGATTTTTTTTCAAATGCCTCCAGAACACGTTGATGCCGACTTTAATGAAAGATTCTAAAAATCAGTACAAAAACGATAAGTCATAGCATTATGTGGCATGCTGATGCAATTTTATCATGATGTAGGTATGTACTTTGGAAAGTAGTGAAAATTAAGTAAAAGTGAAATGTATGAAGTGATATGTTCAAAGTTAATGAGCTCACAAAGAACGGTTGTTTCAAACTTGGTTTAATAAATCAGTTTCACTTAAACAGACAGCCAATATGAAGAGAACAGTGAAGTGTACCACATAACACCATGCAAACATTATAGACTGGAAAAGTTGTTCCAAAGGATGCTTGTTTCGGACACACGAACTGCTTTCACTATTGAATAATTTCAAGTTGGCCCTGTTGATTCTAAAACTCTTACTAAAATAACAAAAACGTAAGTGAATAATTGTAAACATAATTATTGATTAAAACAACTTTTCACAGCGAAACAGTAATGAGATAGTTTCTTAGCTGATACAGTAAACATGCAAATAGGAGACGCATTTTCAAGATCATGAAATACTTGCTCTTATTGTTTACTATATTGTATCGAAACTATTTATATGTTTATAACTCTTAAGTAAAATATAAATATATATGATATATATAAATATATTATCATGAAGAAATATTATGTGACTCAATTTAAAAGTTAATGACTATTTTACTTCAGCCTTATTAAAATGGTCTAAAATATTTCTGCATAATATCGTGTTAATCGATTAGGGCGAAGAATTAAAAACATACCGCAACGTTTCTAGTAGGTGGATCACATCATTTGTAAGAGCCAAATTCTTAAATCTCAAATTTAACCATTCGGCTGATATATTTTCTGTAACAAAAAGTAGGTCAATGTGAATTTTAGATGCAATAAAATCGTCCCTTTTATTTTCTATGATGTTAACAAAAAGACAAGTCAAATGAAAAGCAGTTCGGTGTTAGATAAAGTCAAATAAACACTCAAATATTCTAATAATAAAGATAACTAGCGAAACGTTTACATCATTTTGTATGATTAAAGTGCTATTGCGTCACTCTCTATTCAATTTTACGTGGGAATTTTTATTCGTAACTAGTGGCCCGCCCTCGCTTCGCTTCGGTGTAGAGCTGTAGTGTAGGCAGACTATAGTTTTTGTTCTCAGGCTTGTATTATACATAATGAATTACTTTATATAATTATTATTCTCACCTTTTAAACCTTCCCTAGACCTCCACGAACATTTAAAGACCAAGATAAGATAAATCCGTTCAGCCGTTCTTGAGTTTTAGCGAGACTAACGAACAGCAATTGATTTTTTTATTCAAAGATATAGATGTACAAATTTCTAAACAAAATTGAAAATGTGTACGTCATTATATAGATTATCCTTATGCTAGATATACCCTTGGGGAATAATAGATCATAAAATTCGACAACATATAGGTGATAAACGTACGTCATATATGTATTGTCACAAACGCTCTCGAAACGTAACCGTGAAAGTGCTAGAGATCGAATTTGCCAGATCACCACGGGTCGCGATAGAGGTCGAGTAAGGCGGCATTCTAAAATGAGCCTTATGCAGTGCGCCATAAGGGAGAAAGTGCAACGACATCGGCACTTGTTTACAAGTTATGCGTGTTACCTGCGTAGGTATAAGTAGGTATTTCGTACTCGCGGGTGCTAGGTAATTCTCAATTTAACAGGTACTTTCTAGAATGCGTCGATCGGCGTATATAAGCGCGATTGGCGCCGCGCAGAGACAGTTGAGTTTGAAATTGTTTAGAAACTTGTATAGTGAAATACAGTGTTTAGTGAGTGTTTTGTAATTAACATTGTGTGTTAATTGTGTGAACTGTGTGGTGAATAAAGAACTGTCTAGCGTGAACTGGCATATAATTTCGAACACCATCCCGACACGTAACAACTGGTGACAGAAGTGACATGCCAGTCACACCGCGCGACGGAAGCGAATGCGTACGCACTCGGCGGCAGGCCGTAATGGACCATTCGCGGGAGTCGGGAGTAGCGGCGCCTGATGAAGATTCAAGCATACCACAGACTGCTCACCACAGTGGTGTTGCCGCTACAACTACTCGACTTATTGACATTGTTGGCGGCTATCAAAGACGTTAAGGAGAGTCAACAACAAGCTATGGAAAGTCAACGCCAAGCTATGGAAAGTCAACAACAAGCGCTCAAGGACGTCAAGGAGGACGTGAAGGCTGCTATTGACTCGAAATTTGAAGCATTCAAGACAACTTTGTGCGGCATCCAAGACGAAATAGAATGCGTAAAGAGTCGTACCAGCAAACATCAGGAGACCCTAGACAAACACCAGGAGAGCATACGCGAATGCAAGGAGACTCTACAGGTCCATGAGAAAATGTTAAGAGACTTTCAAAAAACCAAGGTCATCAGCACCGCCATAGCAACCACGGGTACCACGGCACCTAAATTTAAAGTACCGGCGTTTGATGGTACAACTTCTTGGACGGCATTCAGACACCAATTTGAAGTCGTAGCCAAAGGGAACGGCTGGGAGGACGAACATGCCCTGACCGCACTCACTCTTGCGCTCAGGGGGGATGCTCTTCTGATATTGGAAAATGTACCAGCCGATCAACGAAGTTTGGAAACTCTCCTCAAAGCTCTGGAATCTCGTTACGGGGATAAACACCTAGAACATGTGTATCGAGCGCAACTAAAAGAACGGTCACAGAAACCAGGAGAGGGATTGCAGCAGTGGGCTACGGAGAGTGAACGATTGGTGCGTCGCGCTTATGCGTCCAGTAAAACATCCATAGAAGACATTGTAGTTCAAGCTTTTGTGGATGGTATAAGAGAACACGAAGTAAGAGCGGCCGTTCGATTGGCACATCACACGACTCTGGAAGCTGCTTTAGCGCACGCCCTGGAGGTAGAAGCAGTACGCAATGACTACAAGACACACAGAGTGCGAGAAGTTGTTGCAGAGTCAAGCCTCGAGGTGGACCAATGTGCTATGGATGTGGAGAACGAGGGCACATCAGGACTAACTGTCCGGTCCAGCGGAGAAACCGGGCGATGTCAACTGCGGCTGCCGGACGGGCACTGGCTGGACTTCATTTAGCCCCCACAGTACGAGTGTCACAGGCATGTGATGGAAATAGTCTCGTAACCGCAGGAGAAATAAACGGCATGCCTGCACAATTTACAATTGACACAGGGGCATCGAAAACTATCGTACGGCCGGAACTTCTCAAGCGTACAATTATGTGGCAAGGTAAAAGATCTACGTGTTAATTGCAAACAGCTACAGGCTAGCCAGTGACCGTCCTGGGAGTGACAGATATCACATTGAAACTAGGAGACAAAATCTACAGACAAAGTGTGGTCGCTAACATAACGGACGACTGTATACTCGGACTGGACTTCTTACGATCACAGCAGTGTGTGGTGGATATCGCTAGAGGAGTATTGAATTTTCCAGATCAAGAAATATTTCTAGAAGGAAACCCTCCACCAGTGCTCTACAACGTCAGAACGGTTACCCTACCAGCGAGGTCAGAGACATTGGTAGAAGTCAAGTTTCCGGAAGGAGCGTCACTGAATCGATGTGTCGTAGTAGAAGATACCGGGAGTCACCCTAGTTGGATCACGGCTAGAACCTTGATCATGACCAAGAGAGGGGCAAGTGTAAAAATCGTAAACACTAGCAACACTAAGATACAGTTATGGAAGAACACGGTCATCGGACGATGCGCAGGTGTAGACTACATGAGAAGAACTCAAGAATGCTGTAGAGAACCACCTTCAACGAGGCACATGAATCCGTTACTGGAGAAAATGAAGACAAGTTTGCCACCTAACTTGTATAATGAAGCCAAGCAACTAATATTAGACTACAAGGACATCTTTTCAAATGGAGAAAATGACCTTGGGAGGACTGGCCTTGTCAAGCATTCAATCCACACCGGTGATACATAGCCTATCAAACAAAGACCTAGACGAGTGCCTCTGGCAAGAGAACAGGAAGAAGGGGACATGATTGAGAAGATGTCACGTGATAAGGTCATCGAACAATCAACTAGCCCCTGGTCTTCTCCAGTAGTATTGGTGAAGAAGAAAGACGGCAGCACCAGGTTCTGCGTGGACTTCAGGATGCTCAACAATGTGACCAAGAAGGACAGCTATCCATTGCCTCGTATTGACGACATATTGGACATGTTGGGAGGCATGAAGTGGTTCTCCACCGTTGACCTGAAGAGTGGCTACTGGCAGGTGGAACTTCGCCCAGAGGATAAAGAGAAAACTGCATTCACTACTGGTACTGGAAAAGGGCTGTGGCAGTTTCGGGTCATGCCCTTCGGATTGTGCAACGCACCAGCCACTTTTGAACGACTCATGGAACGTGTGCTGGTGGGGTTATTGGGGGATGCCTGTCTGGTGTACCTGGACGATGTGATCGTTATGGGACGCAGCTTCACGGAAACTGGAGGAATCTAGAGAAAGTATTCAGAAGATTCCGCGAGTCAAACCTGAAGCTCAATCCAGAAAAGTGCGCGTTCTTCAAGAAAGAGGTAGCCTTCTTGGGGCACATAATATCTGACAAGGGTGTCATAACTGATCCTGAAAAGGTAAAAGCTGCGCAGGAAAGGCCAACACCGAGAAATAAGACTGAAGTGAGAGCTTTTCTAGGCCTATGTGCGTACCACCGCAGATTTGTGAAGATCTTCTTTGAGATAGCCAGGCCATTACATCGTCTCACGGAAGAGAAAAGAAACTTCGTGTGGGACACAGATTGCCGGCTTTCTTTCACGAAGTTAAAGGATTTACTTTGTTCTGCACCAATCCTAAGCTATCCACGAAGAAAAGGAAGATTCATTGTGGATACTGATGCTAGTAATACTGGAATCGGCGGAATACTGTCACAAGAACAAAATGGACAACAAGCTGTTATCGCTTACTTCAGCAAATCTCTTTCAAAGCAAGAGAGAAATTATTGTGTAACTCGACGCGAACTTCTAGCAGTTGTAAAGACCCTACAACACTTCAATAAGTACTTGCTGGGAAGAGAGTTCACTCTGCGTACAGACCAAGCAGCACTTAAATGGTTACTCCAGTTCAAGAACCCTGAGGGTCAAGTGGCGAGATGGATCGAACAGCTGCAAGAATTCAACTTTGCAATAGAACACCGGAGCGGAAAGACGCACGCCAATGCTGATGCATTATCAAGGCGGCCTTGTGCTGAAGATTGTAAGCACTGTTTAAAATGCGAGTACAAAGACGAAGTGAAGGTTATAAGAGCTCAAGAATTGGATGAATCCTGGAGTAAAGCTGAAATATCTCGGGCGCAGAAGGAAGACAAGGACCTGCAGCTGATAATGAAGGGGAAAAGTGAAGGACGGAAACCATCATGGAGTGACATATCCGCTTCAAGCCCAATCACGAAGGCATACTGGGCCCAATGGGACAGTCTTCTGTTACAAGAAGACGTGCTGTATCGGAAATGGGAGTCACCAAATGGTAAGGATCAGACACTTCAAACGGTGGGCCCTAGGTGCAAAGTATCTCAGGTTTTAAGGCATGTGCACGATGGTACGTCTGGTGGACACCTGGGAATAAGGAAGACCTTGGTGAAAGTGAGGGAACGCCTTTACTGGATGCGCTGTCGAGAAGATGTCGAGGACTGGTGTAGGAAATGTAATGTTTGCGCCTCGGTCAAAGGGCCTCGTACTAGATCCAAGGGGAAGATGCAGCTTTACCAGGTCGGCGCTCCTTGGGAAAGAATTGCCATTAACGTCGCTGGGCCTTTTCCACAAACAGAAGATGGAAACCGTTACATTGTGGTGGTTCAAGATTATTTCACCAAATGGCCCGAAGTATTTGCTACACCAAACCAAGAGGCTCAAACCGTCGCCAAGAGGCTTGTTGAAGAAGTAGTATGCCGATTCGGCGTTCGGTTGGAATTACACAGCGACCAAGGAAGGAATTTTGAGTCAAACTTATTCCAGGAGATGTGCAATTTACTCGGAATAAATAAGACGCGTACGACTCCGGCACACCCACAATCCGACGGCATGGTAGAGAGATTCAACCAGACTTTGGAAAATAATTTGGCGAAGGTCGTAGAAGAACATCAACGGGACTGGGATCGTTACATTCCGCTCTTTCTGATGGCGTACGGGTCCGCAGCGCATGATACCACGGGATTCACTCCATCGAAAATCAACTTCGGTAGAGAGATGCGCTTACCCGTGGACCTACTTACCGGAACACCTCCTGCTGCCTCCAAATCAGTAGTAGAGTACGTCGCAGAGCTGCAAAGAAGGTTGCACGAAACGCACCTCGTGACCTCGTGCGTGAAAATAACCTGAAATCTGGCGAGAAAATGAAAAGCAGGTATGATCGGAATGCCGACGCTCGAGGCTTCGTGGAGGGAGAGCTCGTTTGGTTGCACAACCCACAGAAAAGGATTGAAAAGTCCCCGAAGCTTCAGCCCCGTTGGGAAGGACCCTATAAAGTGATTACGAAAATCAACGACGTGACCTATCGGATAAGACAGGGAGATCGGAAAAAGCCCAAGATAATCCACATCGATCGCCTGGCACCTTACCACGGCAGCAATGATGCTCGGGACGAGTATGTCTAAGAGGGGGGCAGTGTCACAAACGCTCTCGAAACGTAACCGTGAAAGTGCTAGAGATCGAATTTGCCAGATCACCGCGGGTCGCGATAGAGGTCGAGTAAGGCGGCATTCTAAAATGAGCCTTATGCAGTGCGCCAAAAGGGAGAAAGTGCAACGACATCTGCACTTGTTTATAAGTTATGCGTGTTACCTGCGTAGGTATAAGTAGGTATTTCGTACTCGCGGGTGCTAGGTAATTCTCAATTTTACAGCTACTTTCTAGAATGCGTCCATCGGCGTATATAAGCGCGATAGGCGCCGCGCAGAGACAGTTGAGTTTCAACAGCGATTTCGGAGCGAATCCAAAGGCGATCTAAGTGCAACAAAAGTGTTCAAGTGAGATTGTTTAGAGACTTGTATAGTGAAATACAGTGTTTAGTGAGTGTTTTGTAATTAACATTGTGTGTTAATTGTGTGAACTGTGCGGTGAATAAAGAACTGTCAAGCGTGAACTGGCATATAATTTCGAACCCCACCCCGACACGTAACAATATACACAAAAAATCGCTCCCAAGACTACACACCCTGATGAGGCCACATTTGGGATCAATTAGGTTAACTAATTGTTGAAACCATGGATGGTCCACAACCATATTGAGATAACCTTTAAGAGACTAGCACTGTCTTATATGGATTGTGAAACTTGCTAACTGCTATTAATTATCGGTGCAGGACAGTTAGCAGCTGCAAATGGCGTATTCTGAGTCCGTCAGGGTTACAACCCCAAAATATGGCACCAGTAAGGCAACTAATAGTATATGCGAAAACTGTGTAGCTTTTATCATCTACACATATCTAATTCACCTTGCCATTGCTGGAACATAGTTGTAAATTATTTATTGTTATTTTGAATAGATATTATAACCTGTGCTAAATATTTTGGAGCGTATCTTAGGTAAAAGTATAATCTGATAGAATTGTGGAATGGCTTCTAGGCTGTTACAATCACTTGTTAAGGTCGAGAATCTATGCTAGTGGTTCTCAAATCTACGGCGGGAGACCTTGTATGAGAAGAATCGGCAAAACACTCAGCAAAGTCTGGTTTTATCCACTGTTCCATTTTCTTAATCGTTTTTCTCAACCATCTAAGAAAGAAGAATTTTTATTTACTTTTTTCTTACTGGTTAGGTAAGAAGAATATTTTATCCGTTTTCTTAACTGGTAAGAAAACTAGTTGTGAAAATGAAAAAAAATAAAACATAGCCAGTTAGGAAAATGTGAATTTGAAGCGTTTAGACAAACGGAGATGGTGTCTTACGTATTCCTTTTATTAAACCTAAATCACTGAATTTTAGCTTTGAAAGGTATTTACTCAAGAACCTGGAATATCATCTAATTAGACAGACACTAATGAACAAGGTAATTACAAACTAGGTCTACAGATAACAGAAAGAGTTTATGGAATAGCAGCTTCTGCTGCAGTGCAAGTTACTATAAACTGACAAATATTTCTCAATATACTGTGAAACGTATTTCAAGGAACATAAAGCTTGGATTTGGATTAACTTGTCGGTTTTGGTTAACTTGACCTGTAGCTGACTATACGTTATTTAAATCTTCTAAATAACTGTTCAACAGTTGCTGTTTACAAGTTCTGTGGGCACATGTTGACATTTTGGGCTCGCAGCCAAGAGGCGCTAAGGACTTGATATACCTACTTACATAATTACTTTACTCATGATAACAAAGAGTACCCGATATGAGAGTTGTTTGTTCTATTTTACACGTGATTAACATGAGCGACACGTGTCCCTGGTAAATAGAAATAAATCAATTAGTGCATCATCGCATAGCTGTTGAACGAATGAATATGAATCAAACCGTAGGTATTCTTATGTTTCGTTCGTGAATTTCGTCGTGTAGCATCTTTATCTTTAACCGTCCATTAGACGGTAGACTTTGCTGTCGCTCAAGGTAATGATGGTTAAATAAATGAGTGATGGTTAAACTGTCGTCTGATGAGTTGACTGATAACTATTCAGTCACCATCCGCTTATATCATTCACGACTCACGGCTGCATGAGCGTCTTATAGAAACCGTACTGTACTAGCGGCAAGACGGCAGAATACCAGTTATAGTTTATTTGTTAGTTAGAGTAGGTAGGACTGGACCGTCAAAGTATACTGCACCGACGAATAGCCCTCGGGCCGTTCGCAGCTGGCCGAATGCACCACGCAATTACCTGCGTTTCGAGGGGTTTGTTAACAGCAACGCAGGTCATTGTGAAAAAAAAAGATAGGACTGGAAGATGACGATATTTATTTTAAGTCAACTTTAACAGTAGTAGGCACCCAGGATAAACAAACAAAAATACAGGGGAAGATTTTATTTTGGTTTCTAGTTTCTATTCAAAAACATAATATTACGAAGGTTGGCTTGTTGATGCCGTCGTAATTTCGGTGCTGTACCTATCTACTTTAATAAATTGGCAAAACTGTTTACATAACAGTAAATGACGTCGTAAACTTTTTCAGACGTGTATACGCCTACATATTCAAATATGTTTGTTTCACTATTAATTAATATTGTTTTGGCTGTTATGAGACAGTGATTTGCCAAGAAACAAGAGTTTCATATTTTATGACTGTTCATTTCCTTTCATAGAGGAGATGGGCGTAGGGAGTTTACACCTCGACAAGTAGGGCGTAGGGAGTTTACAATTTCAGCGCGTTGGTCGTAACCTCCATCTTAGAAAAGACTGTAGTAACACTACTTTTCGTTGCTGTTGTGATTTAGTTGGTATGGTTCCAGTGTTACTCGGGATTGGGTTTTGGCTGGGAAGGTGATAATTACCTTGGCAACTGCACTAATTTAATGTCAGATAGGTTGGGTCAGTTTGCTGCGATTTGTATGAAAAAGGTACAAAATAATTATGTACGTACTTGGACTTAACATAAGATAAACTATGACTAACTTCTATAAGTGCTGTTTCACATGAAATAGTAGAGGTCATATCTTCTATAAGATAATCAAGAGTCACGACTTTCAAAATATAACAAATAGCGTTTGTATTTTCACTCAGGAGTTTTAAGGTGACTATTGATAGTGCGGCACAAAAGGTACGTACGCGTATATCATCCAGTATTGATTAAATCTAAAAAAATAAGTCACCAATATGACTAATTAAGGATTTATTCATAATCATGACTACACAAGGTATGGATTTATGTGAGGTTTAACCATAATCAAGCCGAATAGACTACCTACAGGGAGCGGGGTTTCCATCACTGGCCATAACAAGTACCTATAGAAACAAAATGCTGCTCAAAACCCTGTCTGTGTTAGCCTCCATTTTGTTTTTCACCGATTTTCCTCTTTATTTATGTCTTAAATCAATTCTGAATAGTTTCTCTACAAAATATGAAAAAAAATATGTATATGAAATTAAAAATTCTAAACTTGTGGCAAAAATCTGCCATCTCCACAGACTGGGATTATTATATTTTGACTGATGTCAGAAATGTATTATGGCATCAGTCAGGGGTGTGGATTAGGGCCTTGTGTAAAAGAGCCTTATGCCTCTTGAATTGGTAAACAAATCTTGTTTTAAATAAAATATGTTAATACGTACTGGCGATATGTCTGTAGTTCTTTGGCAGGGAATTGCGCCACAGGTGGGCAGGCCACTCATCCAGACCGAAGGAGTCATCGTCAGGCCGCGCTCGGAAGGCTCTCAGGAATGCGGTGGCACTCTCCACCGCTGCGTCTTGGGGCAAGCCGTATTCTTGTTGCAATACCTCCACTAGCTGTGAATTTATTCAGTAGTTATAAGTGCCGATGATCAGTTTTTTTAACGTGATTAGATCAAGATCAATTTGCTAATTCTGCAGCAAATTTTATAAAATTGATAGTAGCAGGAGTCGGACAATCACTGCCTAGCTAGTAAATCACAAAATAACAAGTGTTTTATACATTTTGCTAAGTAAGTAGGTACTATGTGTTTCAGTCTAACCTGTGTGTAAAAGTAATACCATGAATTGAAACATAATTGAGGCAAGATTAATACAATTCAGAAATCAGCAGAATCGATATCCAGTTAGGTCACTGTCCTCAGACGGTTCCACCTTTACTTTATAAATCTGATTCCACTCTGGTTATCATTATTTAGGTGTCATGTTTAGCGTTTGATGCAAACCAGCGAAAACGAAACCGATGAATGCTACGCTACGCACATTCAGTAGAAATACGGTTCTATTGAATGTGCGTTAGGGCTACAAGTACGTAGGTATTGTACTATTTGTAATTTGTATTGATAACACTGAAGTGTGGTCAATTCCTATTCGAGATCTAATTATGAAAATATAATTTTGTAAGGCGATATGAAGCTCATAGTACAGGACCTGACGCAAGGATTAAAAAAAATATCTCTTTATATTTAATTGTAAATTAGCTATTAACTTTTTATTTGTTAATGGGTAAGCTCTCGATCCTCTGCCCAGTCCAGCCCGAGAGCAGTGATGGGATCTACGGTGTAGCAAGCTTACCCAGAAGGAAAGGCTCCTCCTGGCTTTAAAATTACATGTACTCGGAGAAACAAACGCAGGCAGGCACTTTCGCTCTTGGCGCTTACATAAGTAATTGAAAAGCGTTGGGTGCGAAGGGGAAAAACAGCAAACAAAATGGACGATAACTTGTAATGCGTCTGGACGTGCAATGGTAGAAGGGGGAATGAGTTCGTGTAACTCCTGAGAACGTTCCCGCAAAGTAGGCACAACCTGTAAAAACAGAAAGGCAGGCAATCTTGCGGCGCGGCGGCTGTGAGACAAGGTGTGAAGCTTAGCTTCCACCAATATATTGTCTCCTATAATTCTTTTGGATTGGCGTTCCACCGAGTCCAGCGCAGCAAGTTGGTATTTGACAGAGCCATCCCAAAGGTGACTGCAATACTGCAAGATAAATCTAAGTTTAAATACAAGAAATGTCTCTCAATGATTTTGAGATTGATGTTAAGACTTTGCCAATGTTCTTAAGAATTTCAATAATAGGGTCAAACTACTAAAGTGCTCTCGCCCAAGGAAGTGTATGTAGTTCAAGAATAGCTCGGGTCAACGATCTGTATGAACGCCGGTCCGTTCACTCACCTGCTCCCTTGGCAAGCTTCGCCAATGTAAGCTGATACATTTATCACTATTAGGGATGCCATACGTCCGGATTTGTAGTAGTTCAGTCCGGGGGGCTGTACAGGAGAGGTTTTTCAAAGTGGCAGTTTAAAAGCCAGACACTTTTTTGAGTCGGGGGAAAGTCAGTGTATAATCATTAGTTATGCTGTACTGTTTTATACCTACTAACACAGACGTTTCTATCTTTATCTGTTGATAATAAACATATTTTTATTTGAAATGAAATGTTTAAATTTTAAAGGTTGTGTGCTGGTGGATACCCAAATGTCTGGGGTTAATACTATTTCTAGTTTTTGCCTCGTGTCAAAAATTTTTGTGACAGCAACCCTAATCACAGTTTTATCAGTACGTTACTAATTAGAGACTACTTGTTCTGTAAAGTGAATTGTTTATAAAAAGTTTTGCTCTATTTAATTGTTATCAATTACAAAAATTATAATTAGAATAAAAGTGTTGGAATAGTGGGTATGGTAGCTTTATTGTATAGTATTTAGTGTTACATTGTTATTTTACAATAATAAATTTATTTATTCTTTTCGGATTAATGTACATCAAGCAGATATTTCTTGAATTATTTATGGTCATGTGTAAATTAAATATTATTCAAACAATAGAAAAATATAAATTGAAAAAATTAAGAACTCTTGAATAAGAAAGTGAACAAATATTTTATTAAAATAAGTACAGTGAGGCATTCACAAACAAAAGAATTGCACTTAATCACCGAACAATTTCTTTCCCAAATCCATCATCCTGTGACTTCTGCACATTTTCAGGGCTCCGCCCTTTTTCAGCACTGGTATTACACTCTCATTTGAATCTACTAATCTACACAGAAAATCTTCAAAGGCAGATTTAATGTTAGGAGGTAGAGTTCCAACTTTAACTTTGGCAAGCATTACAGATATACCCTCAGCCCAACCACTCTCTATGGCAAACTCTGATATCCATGGGACTATGGTGAGTACACCACTCATAGTTTGCATACCCAGGAACCACAAATCAGCAATTTCATTCCAATGTTCTTTGTATGTCATTGACACTACTAGTGCAGTAGGGTCATTGGATTCATCAACAATGTATGCATCCCAAAGAAATCTGATTGTTGATTGGATGTATCTACATATAGAGAAATCATTCTTTTTGACTTTGGTTGCTAGCTGCTTCAGTAATAATAGCCCTAATACAGCCATGTGTCCATGAAGCACAAGATTATCAGGAATATCTTTCAGTTCTGGTAAATTATTGAAAATAAACTTAAGTAAAGTGTTGAACAACATGCTATTTTCAACCACCTTTGGTGCTAATACTGTTAAGTTCATGAAAATATTACAAAGGCTGACCATGGCAGCTCTGGAGTCCTTCATATCTTCTAATACTTTAGGGTCAAGTTCAGGTTCTGGTTGGGTCCTCACTTTACCCCGTTCAGACTTGGGTATAGGAGGCTTCTTGTAGTGAACAATTGACCAGTGGAAATTCATAGCTTCATATAAGATGTCCTCTTGTTTCAGGTTCAAAACAATATCTCTGGCTTTGTCTTCAACTACTAAATGGCAAAGAGCTGGCAACATTAATCTCAATAAATCTATTTGACCCATAAGAGAAGTATCTGCAGTCATAGATTCACCCTCAGATTTATTTTTTTCTGCCAGTTTCCGAGCTCTATATGCATGGAAAGAATCATTCGCTAGAGTGAATATAAATGGCAGCAAAGCATATATTTGGTCCCTCATTGCTGTAGTCTCTTGTGCAATCCACGCAACTAGAACTCTGACCATAGCACAGACAAAAACTTTTTCAGCATCAGGTAATTTATCTTTGTTTTTGTCATTAGAAACTTTAGTTAAATTAGAAACAACAGCATTAAAAGCTCCTTTGAGACTGGTGTACACTGATTGCTTTTCTTTCTGATCCAAATCAAGTTGGTCTGTAGCCATATAATTTATAGACAGTTCAAGGACAATGAAGCAAGCTGTAATTAAATCTGCATTAGAAAAGGCTTGCTTGAAACTTCTGTCATCTAATTGCATCCTTACTTCAATGGCACACAGTTGCAACAGTAACAGGAAGAACTTCTTTGGATTTTCTTCATCACCACATTCAATGCACCACTCAATTCCAAGTAGGTCAAGAATATTAGCTGCAAGTTTCAATGCTGGATCTCTTTGATTTTTACCAATTTTACTGGTAAGAATATCATAGAGGGCTTTATAGATACTCATAGGCCATGTCTCCTCTGCAAAACCAGGCAATACTGTAGTTTTATTACAGCTATATAATAGTGCACTCAAAATAGTAGCTAGTTCAAATTTTCTTTCTGATTGGTCTGTTGCAAAATCCAATGCAATTTTGTTTACTAAAGCATGGAACGGTTTAGGATCATTTCCCCAGGCGGCGGGTCCATATCTACTAACCAGTTTCACAAGAATGTTGAGTGCCTCATCTGTTTGGAAACTTTGGTGAGAGTAAATTTCTGACATTTTAGTAATGGCACCAACTTCTATTAATGCTTTTTGTCCACTTTCATGTTCAGCAATACACTGGAGGCAAGTGTATGCTTCACTAATAATTATGAGATTGTCATCATAATCATCGTTGTCTGATGTTTGCACAATGTCCAAAAAGAATGGTATGTTTGCCAACATCTCAGGATGCACCGATAACTCTGGATCTTTACAAAATGTGGTAAGAACTGATAAAGCAACAGATTTGTAGACCGAAGGTGGGCAGTCATCTTGAACAGTGTTGCTGGTCAATAGTTTCTTCAGAAAATTGAATCCAATGGCTTCAAATAGTGCCTTCTTTGCCGCCGAATTGCAATCTTTGCTTTTCACCAACTTTGTCACCATGAACAAAGCAGCGAACTTTTCTGTGTCGCTTTTTGCAGACTTCAGAATGAGAACGCATTTTTTTATAGGTTCTGATATATCACCCATTGTCACTACAAACCACTAGATGCGATCACAAAGCGCAGCAGTTCGCGCTCCACTAAAAGTAGGGTGCCGCAGTTGAATCGTCTGACGGAGAGTTTCGATCTACATCACGTTTAAAATTAGCGTGGCCGCTCTTCCAAAATATCTAAATCTGGACGGCGAGCTCGCGTTCTCCAACTATGAAAGTCTAATTATAACCACACACTGGAACATACACGCGGGATGTATAGCGAGCAAAGCAAACTATCGAGATCGACTTCAACACAACGACGTAGTTTAGAAAACTTGCGATGACAGCGCGCGCACTTCGCACCGAATACCCATGACCGTGGCAATGTCACGCAAAATATCCGTAAAATATTTTAATTACTTGCCTTATTGCACGTCCTCGTGTCAGCTTTCCTGGTTTGTATTAATGTATTGTCCAAATCAAAAAATATTGCCGAAACATCATAATTTTCGTTATATAAATCGCTAGCCATATTTTAAACACGAACACGACAGAACAGTATAAACCAATACAAAGAAAAAATTCACTAACTCATGTCAATTTTTGTGAAACTGTGACAGATAAAATGGATGACGTTTACATTATCACAATACTCCTGTTATCTCTTTCTCACTTATTAATTTTGCTTTTCTGTAACATTTTTTGTCTTTCTCTTATATTCTAAAGACAAAACTAATACCGCCATCTATCTGAAGCAGAGGAACGGCGACAACCTGTGAACCACTTAGTTTATTTAATGCTATGATAGTTCTAAACTGTACTACTAGATGACAGTATTTTTTATTTAAAATTTTGGTATTGTATCCACGGACGATTGTATTGTAATAAACTAAATAAATTACAAATCACGTGAATTTTTTAAACAAAAGAGTCACTTGTAACCTTAGAGTATATACCACGACAAATTACCACAAACATAATCGCTCTTTATATGTATAATCCGTTTGTAGCATACAAGCGGATCGTATCGCTTGTATGCAACGATATGTAATATCGTTCCTTGTAGGCTACAAACTTGGAGATGATTGTTTTGGTTGATGGCGATGACACTTTTCCAAGCACAGAAAATCTGACAAAGGTAGTCCCCGAGTATTTGCATGTTGTATGTATTTTTTTCTTTTTATCTATACCAATATTATAATGCTGCAGACTTTGTTTGTTTGTTTGTTTGAACGCGCTGTCTACTCTACTGGTCTGATTTGAATGATTCTTTCAGTGTTGGGTAGTCCATTTATCGAGGAAGGCTATAGGCTATATTTTTTTTCAAAATTAGGGATCCGTAATAAAATTGCTATTTTGTAACACAAGGTGTAAAATCGAATACCTATTTTTGCGTGCGCTGCAAAAACTATTGACAATAGAACAAAACGATGTACTACGGGTTTGTAGATCCCATTAAGACCTACAAAAAAGTCCACAAGAAAATATATCTAGCTATCATGGTTTAATCACAATAACCGATTTTGTGTTCAAAATAATTTTTAAATCGTCTGAAGAAAAAAAAACTACGTTAAATATGTATCGTAATATTAATCTTTATCGAAATTAACCAATAAGTTATCAAGAGTATTTATGTAGAAGTAAAATACTTTTTGTTTCATCTCAATCGGATATTTCATTTAAAAGTTATCACGTGTGTAAGATGTTAAGAGTTACCTATTAATGAGTTATGGGCCATAGAGTTTTTTATCAACATAGTCCTGTAAAGTTATTGTCATAATAAAATAAATTATGTGAAATCAATGAAACAATTAATAATGTCATATCATTTCAAGAATTAAAGAGATTACTTTCAATTAAGAACAAATAACCACACTAATATTATAAAGGCGAAAGTTTGTGAGTGTTTGTTACTTCTTCAGGTCTAAACGGCTGGAGCGATTTTTAATAAAATTTGGTATGGAGTTAGCTGATACCCTGGATTAACACATAGGCTATGTTTTACTGCGGGAAAATATCCCTAAAAAACAGCGGGTAACCCCCCGGGGCACAGTTAGTTCTTTATATAATGGTTCAGTATAATTACTACATGGTTTGCTTATCACTAGTTGACTGTCAGACCTAGTCCCGGGGTGACGCTATTCCATACGTCCCCGGGGACTGGGGCTGAGGGAGTTGGGAATTATAGGAGGGAGGGGGAGTGAGAGGAACTTGACTGATGCTGGCACAACAAAAACTAAGTGAATGAAACGATTTTTACGGGTTAAATGCACTGTATTTATTTATCTGACGTTTCGCAGCCTTTTCAGGACTGTGTCTTCAGAAATAATGATTTTTTTATTTACTTTGTCAAGCTACCTTCGTAAGACTTTTATTGAGCGTTCGGGTATTTCATTGTATTGTGCAATATACCCTTTCAAGTTGCTGGTGTCTATAAACTTGAATGCGACTGTGGGCTCTCCTACATCGGGAAAACAAAGAGGAGTATAGGGACTCGGGTAAAAGAGCATATCGCAGATATGAAACATAGGCGCGAAAATAAGTTTGCAGTGTGTGAACATGCATTAGGGGGACCATTACATTAGATTTGATAAACTACATATCCTCGCAACTGAACAACAATTCATTCCTAGAATGATACGCGAAGCTATTGAGATTAAGAAATATTCAAATTTCAATAGGGAACATGGTTATATACCACCAGCTTGGGAACCCATTATACAACAGATAAAATCCCAACCCCGAGCACACACTGCAAGACCAATAGATACTGTTAGTTCTTCTTGTTTGCATAATTTAACATACGAGAGAGATAGAAAGCCTCTCTGAGTTTGGCGAAACAAACTTCTTTCTTCTAAGAAAGGTCTCCCAATTTTGGAACCGGTGGTAGTTTACGGTATTTAAGGTCAAATAAATAAACTCAAAAAGTCCGGTCAATTTAGACAATTCAAATAACAAAAATGGAATAGTAAAACCACCACGTTAAAAAAAAAAAACGCGCCGAGTACACTACTTCATAGGTGGTGAGGAAATGTGTGCATATTATGTACTACGTGACTCTCACAGTCACGATATCTCAGAAACGGTGATACTTAGAGAAAAAATTATGAGAACCATTTTTGTAGAGAATTTTGAGATCTACAATTTTAGTCTGAGGTATTTTTTTGATAAAACTTACCGTTTTTGAGAAAAGTCAAAAAACCTAAAATTTTGACCTTTGGCCCCGCAAACTTTTGAAGCTCGCATGGGATTGATGGGGACTTTTAAATTTTTATTTGTAAGGGTAAAACAAAGGTCTCCACCAATATTTGGCTCTGTCGGGGTTTTTGTTATTTGATACCTATTTTTATGTCTAAATTGACCGGACTATATGAAAAAACAGAACTGAAAAAAAAATAAAGGAAACCCAAAGAATATGTGGAAAACTATTAATAAAATAACTAACTTTAAGCCATCAGTGGCTCTATCTGAAGAACTTCTCCATTTGCAGGGTGATGCAAGTGAATCAGTTAATTTTGTAAACACATATTTTGCAATAATCGGTTCTAAATTAGCCCAAACTATATTAAAAAAATCATGTCGGAAACCAATGCCGCCTACTAATCAATCCTGTTTTTCACCTTGTAATTCCATGGCGCTATTTGCTACAGATTTTAATGAAATCAATTCTATTATCGTCAGCCTTAAAAATGATTCTGCTGCTGGCATAGATTATATAACAACTCTTGTCATAAAGCACGTCAAGAATAGCAATACCCCCTCTTACATATCTATGTAATTTATGTCTAGAGACAGGAGTTTTCCCGGATACTTTAAAGAAAGCTATGGTACAGTTTATCTATAAAGTCGTGACATTAAATGATGGCGGACCCTGTACAGTCGGACCAAAATGATTTTGATACTAGCAGTTCATTCAAGTAAAATAGGTAATTAATAAGACACACTATACAGTCGTATTTTGTTTCTGTTTTATATATAGTAGGTACTTATGCTTATAAAAAGTTTAGCCAAGCATATTTAATTGAATCAGAATAAAATTATTATAGATAAAATAGCACTTTATAGTGTAAAAGTGTGTAATGTTGGTGATTACAGCTGAGGTGTCATTGAGACGAGAGCCGTTAGGTAATCATCAATACACAAGTATCATCATAAGACGTTTTTTAACACACTTGTTAAGAAAATAATACTAAAAATCATTTTATAGTATATAAAAAGTTTAATTAGAGAAACAATTTGTAAATATGCAGTTAGTAAAATTAGTGATAGGTATCTTCACTAAAAGCATCTGGCCATGGTTCTTTATGTGACTATTTCTTTCTTTAGTTGGCCTTGCCTCTTTTCCCAGGAGTTTCAAACTTTCCATCATTCTTAAAACCTTCGTTGACTATCCGATTCTCTGATTTTCCTAAAACAAGTAAAAAAATATGTAACGGAATAGAAACAATAACTTATTGACATGAAGCAAATAATTCAAAATTGGTAGAAAACCTGACCGAATTGAAACATAATAACGTACCAAAAGAAATGGTCAATGGTACAATGTCAATCTAACCTAAAAATGTGCAATGTAAACAATGCCTTTTTTAGTCTCAAAATCATAAATTGCGTAAATTTGTAACTTCAGGCAGATTACAAACAAATAGTTACACGATTACAAACCCGTCATAGATGCTGTTCGCCCATACACATACATAACTTTTTTTTTGGTGGGACGAATTTTGGTGGGATTTGCCACCAAAATTCGTCCAACTTGGTAGTCTTCGAAACATCGCTGGAAAACTTTAAAAATCACTTCCCGCATGCCACTCCGATTTACTTTAGTCATTTTTATACCTTTCTGCGTAGTTTCGTCTTAATTTATTACAGTTTAATCCAAACAATAAAAAATACAATAGGAAAACTGTTCCACAACTGAAACTCGATGACAGCTGATGTACATAAGTTTGGTGTTGCCAGACACATGAATAAAGTTTCTCAAACATTCATGTCAAGACTTTATAGACAAACTGTACATCCGATTCACAAAGGCGGGGATAGAAATTGTGTCGGAAATTACAGGCCAATATCTGTCATAATTGTTATCTCAAAGATACTTGAAAAGATTCTCAATCGTAGACTTATTGATTTCTTAGATCATAATAACGTGATTTCAAAGAATCAGTTTGGTTTCATGAAAGGTAGGTCTACTGAGGATGCGGCCTTATTACTTACGGAAACAATAGTTAAGCATCTGGATGACAAAGAAAAGGTTTTGGGTATCTTCTTGGACTTGACGAAGGCCTTTGACACGGTATATATCCCTCTGCTTCTCTTCAAGTTGGAATCGATTGGTGTACGTGGTACGGCTTTTGATATTTTTAAAAGTTATTTATCAAATCGTTCACAAAGCGTTAAAATAGGGGACTATTTGAGTTCTCAGTGTGATCTTGTTTTTGGAGTACCACAAGGTAGTGTGTTAGGTCCTACTCTTTTCCTGGTATATATCAACAACTTATGTTCAAAAAATTTACCGAATTGCAATATAATCACCTATACCGATGACACAGCATTAGTAGTTTGGGGACGGGATTGGTTGGAGGTCAAACACCATGCAGAGCGTGCACTGGTTGTAGCTAAGCAATGGCTGGATAAAAATCTATTGACATTAAACGTAGATAAGACAAAATACATGGCTTTCTGTCATCGAATCCATACACTGCCTCAGCCAGAGTTTCAGATTAAAGTCCATAACTGTGACGATGAGACACAATGCACTTGTTCTTCTTTGTCATCTGCATCTGAATTGAAATATCTGGGCTTAAAAATAGAAAGCATTTTAAATTGGTCCGCTCATGTGAAGACTTTGACCAGTCGTATAAGAAAGTTGACCCCTGTTTTTAGAAGACTTAGGCACTCCGCAGATATTGATACTTTAGTAAATGTTTACCATGGCCTAGTCCAAAGTATTCTCCAATATTTGGGGTGGCATTGGCATTTCTGCGCTTCTTCCGGTAGAACGGGCTCAAAGGCCAATATTGAAGGTCATGCTTGAAAAACCTCGGAAATATAGCACTGATATTCTATACTCGGAATGCCCAGTACTTAGAGTAAGACAGCTTTATATTTTGAACACTATATTAAGAAAACATAAATACATTGATTTTAAGCCTATTAATAAGCGTAACGTAAGTAGGGTATGTCAACTTCCATCTCATAAATCCGAACTTGCTAGACGCCAATTCTATGTAAATGCCAA